CAAAGAAAATAAAACCAATCAATTCAAAACATACCCTTGATACATTTTTTAAATGAACATTGAACATTTTATCAATTTTTAATTGAAACTTGTTATTTTTTAATAATCAATGAATTTATTCTTCCTCTTTTTAAGTTTACAGATTTATTTAGTGAAGGCAAGTGCAATAATCCTTTTCCAAATTACATTGATTTTCTAATAATTTGGAATATTTACTAATTTACTTCTGTATATCTTTTTTATAACCATGAGCATTTTACTTCCATGGTATATCAATTGGAAATCAGACCTGTTAGAGATAATTTTAAAAAGAGGAATTAGGAATGGGATCAGAGAGTGATTTCTTTATTATTTTTATAGTGAATATCAAAATATATTTATTTCTCCACTCTAACTGCTTCATTTGACTAGCCTAAAAAAACAAATAAATAAAAATAAACATATTTATAAGGGCTCTCAGAGATTCACACAAACCTGTTTTAGTATAAGAATTTTTCAGCACTTAACCACTTTGTTGGCATTGGACTGCTATGTTTGATCCTAGTATCTTTAGATACCTCATGAGCATGCAAAATTAAAATTTATCATAAATTCTATGAAAAGTATTAGCTTAGCTTAACTAGCATAAGTGGTTTTGTTACCTTCAGGAAAAGAATATCACAGTATTATCTGTGTAAAAAGGGTTTTTGCTTAAAATACAATTATTCTTTTGGTTTTTCTTATTTAAGATTCCTGTATGTAATGAATATGCACTTGATTCACTTTAAAAAATATTTAGTGTAAGATTCAAAGTAGCTTTTTTTAATATAGGACTTTCAATTGGCAGTATTTCATTTCTTGGCAATTATGTTGGTACTTTTCACAAATCTATGAAGGATAAATTGTACAGTGTATTTTTATTATAATCTTCAAGAGAAAACTGTGCAATTACAAAGCTTAATGTATATTAAAACATCTCACCTTAGTTACATTTCTATCAACATTTTTGCTAATATTTGTGAAAGAAGACTGCTTAATAGTTAGCTTAAGTGGTTGCTTCAAACACCTTTGTGCTATCAGTGAGTTCTTATCAAAAAAATAATTATTTAATTGTAACATAAAGATGGAAGCCTTTTTCTGTTACTAAATTAGAGGAAAAAAAGGTGGGTAAGTTCTGGGATCAAACCTAGTTCTGTTTTACTAGAGTTCAAAAGTTTTTTCATTCCTAGAATATGCTAAACTTCAATTTGATCTCTGAAACCATCCACAGGTGTGAGATGTGCCAAGGGTTTTTTTGTTTGTTTTTTGCTAGTGATTCAGGGCAGAGACCCTGGTTGTCCTTCAACATTCTACTTTTCTGTAATATTATTAGAACTTTAGCTACGTACATGTTCGCCCAGAATATGGGTCACCCACTACTGTATTTCATCAATTCTTTATTTTATAAACCACTAAGAAAGAAATAATAAAATGGGGAGTCCAATAGGTTACCACTGCATAAGTATGGAATACCAAGGTTTATATCTTCAGAGCAAGAATAAATGAGAAATAGACTGGGTATGGTGGCTCATGCCTGTAATCCTAGCACTCTGGAGGCTGAGGCAGGAGGATCACTTGAGATCAGGAGTTCAAGACCAGCCTGAGCAAGAGTGAGACCCCATCTCTAATAAAAGTAGAAAAAATTAGCCAGGCGTGGTGGTGTGTGCCTGTAGTCCCAGCTACTCGGGAGGCCGAAGCAGGAGGATCACTTGAGCCCAGGAGCTTGAGGTTGCAGTGAGCTATGATCATGCCACTGCAATCTAGCCCAGGCAATAGGGCAAGACTCTGTCTCCAAAAAAAAAAAAGCAAAAAAGAGGCAGCAAATTGCATGCTCAACCTTGGGACTGGTTGGAAGGAGGAACTGTCACTGAAAATTTAAACCACAAACTAGTATACATGTAGGTTTGTATTCTGAATTCACAGGAATTGTACGGTCCCAAAAAGCTCAAGCAGAAAATTTAATTAAAGTGATCTTAGGTTAGTATTGTCCCTAGTGACTGGTAGAAGCAAATGCACATCCTCTCTGGAAGAACTCATCTTCAATTCAGGCAGATGATTTAATATCTCAAAGAGATACTAAAGTACGAAAAATAAGTATTGCAGAATTGATGACCTACAGTATATCTCCCACCCTTGCAGCTCACGCCTTCCCAGCTAGGTATATCTATGTGACTGAGTTTTAACCAATGGGATAAAAAAGGAAGGATTGTACATGATAGTTTCTGGGAAACTTCCTTTCTCACAGCTTCTGGGAATCTTTATTTCTCTTTGCCTCTTCTTCCAATTTCTTTCCTCCATCCTACTGCCTGGAAGAAGATGCTGCTATTTACACCTCAACATAAGGGCTGCACCTGGACATGGTGGAGTAATGGGCTGAAGGGTCTGGTTCCTTAGGACTTTGTAAAACAGAAGCATCATATCAGCACTGGCCTGCACATTTCCAGACTTTCACAAGAAATAGAAATCAAAACCTTTTTTAAGCCATAGTCACTTTGGTTTTTCTGTTAATTATAGCTGAATCCTAACTGATACAGGACATAAAGGTTATTAAGACATCTTTGTCCTCCAGGAATGAAGAGCCTCCCCAAGTGACAGTTTCCATTCAATGTGGGAAGGGCTGTAATAGGTGAATATATACAGTGGGAGTCTAGGGAGAAATCACCTGATAGAGGATGGCAAAGAGAAATTAAGGAAGGTGTTTTTAAGGAGAAGAAATCCTTGAACAGCTCCTGGATTTAAAGGTTTACTTCAGAATTGGACGTATTCCCTTACTCAAGACCTTCCTTTGGGGAGAAACTACAGCTTTCAGGACCGGTGGACAGGTTGCTATTCACCTGGCTGAATTGTATTCCATCTTTATTTGATAAATACTTATTGCAGGCCTGGTACTATTTTAGCCATTGAAGATACACCAAGGAATGAACTTTTAAAAATCTCTGTGGGCCGGGCGCGGTGGCTCACGCCTGTAATCCTAGCACTCTGGGAGGCCAAGGCAGGCGGATTGTTTGAGCTCAGGAGTTCGAAACCAGCCTGAGCAAGAGCGAGACCCTGTCTCTACTAAAATTAGAAAGAAATTAATTGGACAACTAAAAAATATATATATAGAAAAAATTAGCTGGGCATGGTGGCGCATGCCTGTAGTCCCAGCTACTCGGGAGGCTGAGGCAGGAGGATCGCTTGAGCCCAGGAGTTTGAGGTTGCTGTGAGCTAGGCTGATGCCACGGCACTCTAGTCCGGGCAACACAGTGAGACTCTGTCTCAAAAAAAAAAAAAAAAATCTCTGTGAAATTTACATTCTAGTTGGGGAGATAGACATTCAACAAACAAATACAGGCTATTATTTTAGTGACAAACTCTACAAAGGGAAGAGACAACAGCATAAGGAAATGGAATGTGAAATCAGGGGATACTACTTTAGAATAGGAAGGAAGGGAAGGCTCCTCTAAGAAAGTGACATTTAACCTGAGACCTTAATGCCAGGAAGGATCAAACCATTAAAAAAATTTGGAAAGAAGAGTCAGGGAGAATGGGTTCCAGGCCTAGGGAAATGGAAGGCCAATGGCTCTGGAGCAGGAAACACTGAATGAGCATTAAGAATGGAGAAGAGTTATAGGGCCTGAGGTTCGAGAGATGAGTAGAGCCAAATCATGCAGAGCAGTATCTTGTTGTGTACTAGCATACTTAGAATTAATCTTCTGGTTGAAAACTAATCTGTTATTTGAAACAGGGTGAAAAAGAAAAATACCATCTGCAGTATATCTTATAGCTTCTTATTTAGCCCAAGCTCTCAGGGAAGTTAAGGAAATGAAATCCATCTAAGGCTAAGATTTACAAAGTGCACTGCTTTGCAGTTTTTGTCTCATCTGCCAGAGTAGAGTAAGTACTATACACTTTTATAAGGATATATAGCATAAAATGATGATGCATTTCCTCCTGTTATTGGTAAGAGGATTTTAACAAAATTAAATTTCTTGGTTTAGAATTTGAAAGCAATTTGTATGCCATGAATTACTTGGATAAACAATTCAGATCTTTCTGTACTTGGCTGTATAATTTCCATTGGTCTGGTGCTGTTTCCACTGTTATTCTATGTTTTTTGATTTTTAGAATTTTAGTTATAAACATAGATTTAATTTTGTCTTCTGTTTTTCTGTTTGCATGGTATACTTTTCATATTAGTACATAGTCTGATTTCTGCATAATATTCAATTCAATGTATTTGCTATTGTTTTGATCATATCTCTAATACAAACATTGTGCCCATTTTGCTTTTTTCAAAGGAAATTTGAAATTACAGGTGTTCTGAAGACAATAAATTACATTTTGCCACTTTTTGACAACTTTTTATTGTTTTGAATTTAATGTTTCACATTTGGTGCACATTAATTTGAAGGGAAAAACTGACAAGTTTAAAACATTGATATTATATAATTTATATTAAAATGATACACATTTCATAAATCGATAAGAATACAAAATAAATGAAAACTAGATTACCTCTTATTTTAAGTTTATTTGGGGGGCCAGAATTTCTTTGCTCCTATAGTATTTCATTTTTTAAAAGAATCAGGCAAGAAAAATTATAATTGCATGATTATCAGATGAGAAATTTAGAGTCTTATTTTATCCAAAAGAAAATTCTGGAAGCCCATTTAGAAATGATTTAATATTGAAGTTCCAATAGTGTTGGTTATAAATCCAACCTCGACATCTCTGAAAATTGTACAAAGAAGTGGTAGAGTGTGAGCTGGGAGTTTATTAGGGCTTGTAGATTTCTCAGGATGTTTTATTTCGGTACAACCAAACCTTAGCACATCGCAGGCCACACCTGAGGGCGGATTCTCCTAGGCCAGCCCAAACTGGGGCAGGGTTGGAGAACTGCGGACTCAATCCGGCGGTCCTGCCGGGGCCAACCTGCCCGCGTCCAGCCCCGAGCCCTGGGTCTGGGTCCTGCCGGGCTCTCTGGGCCCGCGGGGGCGACCATGGACACTGCGGGGCGCGCTCAGGGCCGCGGGGCCGCGGCGAAGAGGCTGCTGCTTGGGGCGGCTGCCGCCGCCAAGGGGCTTAAGGAGGACCTGAGGGGCGTGGCCGCCCGGCCTTGGAGGGATTTGTCCGGGATCCCAAAGCAGGAGGGGCCTGGAGAAGAAGAGGCTGCAGTTGACCGACACGAGTTCCGTGAGTCCCAGGACGAGGTCTCAGAAAATCAGAGGGTGGCGTCGCCCTCGTGACAGGCGGTAGGGCGAGCTGGGTTGAAGGGACTTAAGAGGGTACTCGGGGCAGCGCCTCGGGACACCGCGGGAAGGAAATTGGTGCCACGACTCCGCTCTGGGGACCCCGAGTCCATCTTCCACCACGTCACCCCCTGTTCCTTAGTTTTCAACTTTGGAATCCACCTCCACCCAAGTTTTGGTTCACGTTCCCCACCCTGTACTGTGAATGGAAGGAAAGTATTACTCTGCCAAATTAAGGAGGAGGCTTTTAAAAGAAATGATTAAGCCCTTTTGTAAATAAGGAAAGAGTTTCATGTGCTGTTGTCTCTTATATCCTGACTCATGCACTGATTTATTGTCTGACTTTAAATAAGTCAGTCTTTCTGCACTTAAGTTTTTAAAGCATGGAGTGGATCATCTATGCCTTGGGAATAATTTGTAACATAAACTGAAGCAGCTGCTAAAGAGTTCAGAAGTTAAGAATAATTCAACTCTGTTAACAAGGCACACCATCCAAGCCCACAGGCTGGGATGGCCTCATTTCCTAAATACCAGCCTTAGGAGCTGTACACCTGGGAAGTTCCTTACTAGAATGTGCAATTTAGTTCATTCATACCAGAAATATTTTCAAGGGCTTATTATTTGCCAGACATGTACTAGAAGTGGGGATGCAGATAACGAGACAACCTCCGTTGAGGTGGAGTTTACATTCTATTGTGGTGGAAGGTTGCTGGACAATAAAACAAGAAAGCAAATAAATGAATAAGATAATTTAAGATAACGGTAAGTGTGAAGGCCGTGGGTTCAGGCGGAAAAGCATGACAAGCAAGAGTAATAGCAAATGCAAGGCAGGGGTGAAATTGATATATTCTGGAAAGAGGAAGATGACCAGCCTGGCTGGGAGCATAGAAAGTGAAGGGATGAGAAAATGAGGTTGGGGAGGTATGCAGGGCCTTGATGCCCTAAGAAAGAAGCTTAAACTTGGTATTGTCAGGAATTTTTTTAATTTTAGCCATTAAAATAGGTGTGTATTGGTATCTCATTGTGGTTTTAATTTAAATTCCTTTAATGGCTAATGATGCCATTGTATCCCCTTTGGTTGTCTTTGTTCCATTAAAATCTGCTGTGGTTTGAATGTGTCCCCCAGATTTCATGTATTGAAAACTTAATCCCCAAATTCATATGTTAATTGGAGGGCCTTTGGGAGGTAATTTGGATTAGATAAAGTCATCAGGGTGGCTCCCCCATGATGGGACAGATAGCTTTGTAAAAAGAGAGAGACCTGAGCTGACACTTGCAGATGGTCTTGCCCTTTTCCATGTGATGCCCTTTGCCATGTGTTGACACAGCAAGAAGGTCCTCACCAGGTGCCAGTGCCATGTTCTTTGACTTCCCAGCCTCCAGAACCGTGAGCTAAATAAACTTCTGCTATTTATAATATACCCAGTCTGTGGTATTCTGTTACAGCAACAGAAAATAAACTAAGACAAAGTCTTTTCTCTATTTTTAAGTTGGATTATTTTCTTACTGTTGAGTTTTAAGAGTTCTTTATATATTATGGATACAGTTTGTTTGTCAGATATGTAATTTTCAAATCTATCCCCCCAGTCTGTTGCTTGTCTTTTTATTCTGTTAATAGTGTTTTTCATCAGGCAAAAGTTTTACATTTTGATGAAGTCCAGTTTATCAATTTTTTTCTTTTATGGTCGTGCTCTTGGTGGCATGTGTAGGAACTCTTTGCCTAAACCCGGGTTATGAAGGTTTTCTCCTATTTTTCTTCTAAAAGTTTTATAGTTTTATGCTTTATATCTGTGATTCACTGTGAGTTAATTTTTACATAAGGTATGAAATTTATGTCATGATTCATATTTTTTTCATGTAGATGTCCAATTGTTCAAGTACCATTAGTTAAAATGATTATCCCTCCTCCATTGTCAAGGCCTTCAAACCTTTGTTAAAAATAAATTGGTTATACTTGTGTGGGTTTATCTCTAGACTGTGTATTTTATTCCATTGATCTATGTGTCTCTTTGCCAATACCATGCTATATTGATTAGTGTAGATTTATAATAAAATTAAGTAGTATGACTCCTCTAATTTTATTCTTATTTTTTCAAAATTGTTTTGGCTATTTTAGTTTCTTTGCCTCTCCACAAAATTTTAGAATCATCTTGTCTGTAGCTATAATAAAAAGTCCTTCTGGCATTTGATTGGTGTTGCATTAAATCTATAGATTAATTTGCAGAGAATTGACATCTTTATAAAGTTGAGTCTTCCAGTCCATGGACTTGATATAGCTTTCCTTTATTTCTTTTTTTTATGTCTTTCTTTTATCCACATTTTATATATCTTTGGTATAGAGAAACTGTACATGTTTTGTTGGATTTATAAACAAGTATTTTGATTTTTTTAATTGATTGTAAATGGTGTTGCTTTTTAAATTTCAGTTTCCATTTGTTGATTGCCAGTATATACAAATATGGTTACTTTTTTTGTGTCGATCTTGTATCCTGCAACTTTGTTAAACTCAGTTATTAGTTCTAGAGCTGTTTTATACATTCCTTTATGGACAATCAAGTTGTCTGCAACTAGACTAGAGAGAGTTTAATTTTTTTCCAATTTCTGTGCCTTTTTATGTACTTTTACCATTTTATTTCACTGGCTAGGACTTTCAGCACAATATTTAGAAGGAGTAGTCAGAGTGGAAATTTTTCCCCTGATCTTAGGGATAAAGAAAGTGTTCAGACTTTTATGATGAAGCGTGATGTTAGATGTCAGTTTTTTGTGGGTACCTCTTATCAGGTCAAAGAAGTTCCCTTCTATTCCCAAGTTGCTGAGAGGATTTTTTTTTTTTAATCATGAATGGGATGTAGAATTTTAAAAAATACTTTTTCTTTATCAGTTGATATCATCATATATTTTTCTTCTTTAGGCTATTCATATGGTAGATTACATGATTGATCTTCAAATATTGAACCAGTCTTGCATTTTCAGGATAAGCCCGACTCGTTGATGGTGTATTATAGTTTTTAATATATCACTGGATTTAATTTGATGATGTTTCTTTGAGGAGTTTTTCATACTATGTTCATGAGGATATTTGTTTATAGTTTTCTGTTCTGATAATGTCTTTGTCTGGTTTTGGAATCAGGGAAAGGCTGGTGTCATAAAATGAATTGGAAAGTGTTTCCTCTTCTATTTTCTAAAAGACATTGTGTAGACTTGGTGTTATTCTTTAATTGTTTGGTAAAATTCACCAGTGAAACACCTGATCATGGAGATTTCTTTTTTATAATATTTTAAATTACAGATTCAATTCCTCTAATAGTTATAAGGTTAATCAGGTTATCTGTATAATCTCAAGTCAATTTTGGTAGTTGTGGTTTTCAAGGAATTGTTCTATTTCATCTAAGTTGTTCAATTTATGTGGCTGGAGTTGTTCATAATACTCCCTTGTCATCCTTTTAATGTTGTGGGAGATACATATATATGTCAAATAATGTCAAGTGATATGGAGAAAAAATACAGCAGGACTTAGGAGTAGAGAGTTACAGGAGAAAAGGGGATCATGTGGTCTTTTATGGTTTTTCAGAGATGGTATCATTTGAGCAGGGGCCTCAGTGAAATGAGGGAGGGAGTGTGCCCTTGTTTTTCTATTATAGTTCAGCAAGGTCCCCTCTTGTTCTGGCCCCCTTTCCTCATACTTGCCCAACTCCTGAAGGCATTGGCATTTTTGAACCCTAAAAGTTTAAGTGAATGATACTACTTCTGTATAAACTATTCTTTTTGGCTGAACATTTGACCTTGATCTTATCAATTACTACTGGAAAAAAACATATATAGTAAACTACTCCTATAAATATTATTTAGCTAAGCTGAAAATTGGTATGTTTATGATTTATCTGGTCATTTTCTCAACTCTGTCACTGACTAGCTGAAAGATAGGTAGTGGTGTGCTAGTCAGTGTTTAACTGTCAGCTCTTCTGGAGTTTGGAAGGGGGGAAGTCTTTATTTGTAGGATTTTCAAATTTCGTTTGTGTAATACTTCCATTGTGGCTGATTTCAAGCTACAACATGATGTCATTCAACACAGAGATGGTAAGATACATGCAATCAGCTCTTGTGAGCTTGTGGGAACTGACTCCTGCACACCACTGAAGGTAGGTTTTATAATCTCCATTTTACAGGCTTGGATACTAAAATTCAGAATTGTCACCAGGTTATACAATTAGTAAATTGTAGTCAAGTCATTGAACATGTTGAGCTCCTAGATATTCTGATGTAATTGGTTTGGATTGAGAACCTGGCATGGATTTTTTTTAAAGGGCTCCAGTTGATTTCATTGTAAAGCCAGAGCTAAGAACTACTGCCTTAATAAATCAAGAGTCTTTTACAGTGCTTCCCTATTGTCTTAGAAGCAGCCTCAAAATTCATTTTCCTTATAAATTGGTAGGAAAGGGGAAAGATATTCCACTTCAGGGACAGAATAAAATCCACGTGTCGTATTTCAGGACACAGCAAGGTTTTGACTGCCTTGAGACATGTCAGAGGGATAAGGACCTGAAAATAGAACCTGCCTCTAATTGGATTAATACACAGAGGGAAGAAGCTGGGGCCATGGCTGTATGAGAACCAGGAGAGGGAGATGAGAGAAGTCTGGCCTCCCTGACAGAACGCATTAGCCAAAGCATATGACAGAGGGGGTGATTTGGTTCTCCATTTCAGCAGTCCACTCCCATGCTCACACCTGGACATGAGGGGTGATTGAAAGCTTGAGGTTTAGATTCAGGCTGCCTGGGACAATTCTGTTACTTACTATCTTTAAGACATGAACAAGTGGTTTAACTTTTTAAAGTCTCAGTTTCCTCATCTATAAGATGGGGGTGAGAATGCCTATACCATCAGGTTGTTTGTTTTATAAAAACTGACAGGCACTCCAACGTTTGGAGATCAAGCAGAGGAAGGAGAGCCAGTAAGAAAGACTGGAAGGCAACAAGTGGTTTAACAGAAGACTAGGGAAGAACATGTTACAAACAGAGTGTGGTCCTCAGTGTCAAAGTCTGCCAGGAGGTCAATGCACATGACAGAGAAATGATGACTGGATTTTGGCAAGGTAGGATGACATCAACAAGAGCAGTTTCTGCAGAGTGGTAGAAAGATGTCTGGTTAGCATGAGTTGAGTCAAGACTGTGAGATAAAGAAATAGAGGCAGCAATTACAGAACCCTTATAAGAACTTTGGGGTAATGGGAGGTCAAAAAATGGAGCAGCAGTTGGAAAGGAATGTGAGATCAAGGGAGGGTTTTTTACACTAAAGGTATTGTAGAATCTGTGTATATTTTGAGGAAATTGATCCACTGGAGAGAGATTAAATGATCTGGAGGATAGAAGAAATAATTTCTAGGAGATTAATATATAGAATCATTGAGGGGATGGGATCCAGAGCCCAAGTGTAGAGGCTGGCCTTGTATAGGCACAAGGATGTTTACCCACAGTAACAATAATAAAGAGAATTGGTACATGTAAATGAAGGTAAGTTGGTAGACTTAGTGGTAGGAAGATGGGGGAGTTCTTGTTCTATTTTCACTGTGAGGCAATGTTATCAACTGAGTATTAAATGATGGTAGTGGGGGGCAGTAAATTAGGTAAAATAGTAAATTAGGATATTTGAGGAAAAAGGAAAAGTCATGAAAGTTTAGAGAATGAAAGACTTGGGGAATGTAGTAGGATAGCTGGCAGTGCAGAGATCCCACTTAAGATTAGTGGGGAAGAATTTAAGAGACCTGTTAGCAAACATATCAGTTAGGACAAACTAGCTTTTCCTGCAGCAACAAATAACTCCTAAGTCTGAGTGACCAAACATAACAGAGATCTATTTCTTGCTCATATAGCGTGTCCAACATAGGTTGGTAAGGATGCTCCTCCTAGTCTCTCAGAAACCCAGGTGTCAAGAACTATAAAGGGGCCGAGACTTTACCTTACTTGTAAGCATAGAAATGCTGGTGTATTTCATTATTCATAGCAGTGCAATAGCCAGTGTCAGCATTTACGTCAGCTCTGCAAGCCCCAGTTCCCACAGGGAGGTGTGAAGAGTGCCAAGTGATACCTGCACACAGTGGGTTGCGTTACAGAAAAATCCTGCACTTAGGGAACCCAAATCTTTTGTAATGGGTAGTAAGCATGCCTTATTATTGCTATCTTCCAAGGCTGTAAGCAAACCTGCTCTTTGCTCCAGAGGAAGACATTATCTCTATCTTCCTAGGCTTTTCAATATACAAACATCTTTGAAAAGATAGTTAACAAAGCCAATCAATACTTTTGCTTGTAAGATGTGCAGAAATGTGAGAAACCCATGGAGAATTGTCTCCTAATGCCAACTTGCTGGGGCTACCAACATCTTGTGACCCCTCCATTTAAACACATAGGTTCCAGGGTTGTTAAGACAGGGGAAGAGAAACCTGGGGGATGACACAGGGGCTTTTCACTGACTCAGCCACAAAGTGAGATACTATCACTTCTGCTTTCAGTCTTTTGGGCAGACCTCACCTAACTACCTCTAGGCCAGGATGTGTACTTATCCATGTGCTTAGGTAGACAAGAAGAATCAAATATTGATGAACACTAGCAATGTATACCAAAGCATGGTTATGTATTTTTGTCCAGTACCAGTTAGTTGGTCAGGTGCATAAATGAAGCAAATAGCATTTGGGTTTAATCTCAGAATTAGGATTCTGACCAACTTGTATAATGGGGGAAAAGAGTGATGAGGGAGGTAGGTGTGTTATGCATGGAAATAATTTCATAGACGGACCATGTGCTATGGTCTGAATGTGTTCCCCAAAATTCATGTGTTGAAACTTAATGGTTAATGTGATAATATTAAGAAGTGTGGCCTTTAGGAGGTAATTGAGTGAGTCACGAGGGCTCCAGCCCCATGAATGGGATTAGGTGCCCTTATAAAAGGGTTTGACAGAGGGAGTTTGCCCCTTTTCACCCTTTGCCTTCTACCATGTGAGAACATGGCATTTCTTCCCTCTGGAGGATGCAGCAACAAGGCGCCATCTTGGAAGCAGAGAGCAGCCTTGACCAGACAACTGAACCTACTGGTGCCTTAATCTTTGACTTCTAGCCTCCAGGACTGCAAAGAATACATTTCTGTTCTTATGAGTCTCAAGTATTTTGTTATAGCAGCACAAACAGATTGACACCAGGGAATCTAAACATGGTAAGGAGGGAAGGAAGGATATAGGGATGAATAATACATAAAGAGAATTAGAGGATTGGAGAAACTCTTGAGGTTGCAATATTTTTGGACTTGGAGAACTAGAGCAGATGAGCTGAATGGATGAGAAGTTTGGTCAGAGAATGAGATTTTTGAAGTCAAGATTTCAGAAGTAGTATAGTTTGGGTGATGATGAGGTAAAAAGTGTGCCCCTGGTGGGATGGGGGAGGAGAGGATGAGTAAATTCACACTTAATAAGTATGGTACACGCTGTCTGGGGGATGGGCACACTTGTAGTTCTGACTCAGTGCAAAGGCGTTTTATGGGACCAAAGCATTTATACCTCAGTAATACTCTGAAATAAAAAAAAAGAAGTATGCCCCTGTAATTTGATGGCTGAGGCCAGATGAGTGAAAGATTATTAGAAGTGAGGGAGTTAGGGAACTAAGAGGCCAAGGTAGGTATTGTCTTAATCATCTGCAAGGTTACTGAATTCACCTAGAATGGTGACAAGTGGAAGAAAGAGAGGTGATAAAAAGAATGAACATGTAAACATGTAAATCTATATTAGTTTGCTAGGAGTACCGTAAAGTACCATGGGGTGGGTGGTTTAAGCACCAGAAGCTTATTTTCTCAGTTCGAGAGGCTAGAAATCAAAGATCAAAGAGTTGGCAGGCTTAGTGTCATTTTTTTTTTTTTTTTTTTTTTAGGATATACAAAAAAAAAAAAGTAAAAGTTTATTTATTTTCCTGAAAAAGAAAGAAAGATAGATACAGGGAGAAGAGAGAAAGAGAGAGAGTGGCCATGACACACAGAGGGAGGAAAGAAATGTTGGGCAGTGAGGAAAGTTGCTTGGTGCTTTTAAAGGGTAAAAATGGCGCTTTTTTCTGCTTTAGGGGACTGATAATAAAAGCGGCTGTGAAGCTGCTGTGTTGGCTTTTTCTGTTTCTCACGTAGCAGAGTGATAGCAGAAATTAGCTTCATCTTTATTCTTGATAGCAGGAGGCATCTGGTACTGTCTCTTCTTGAGGAAGCAGGGGAAGCTCACACTCCTACTGTCCGCTCAGGAATTTTTTTAAGGCTGAGAAAGAACTCAGAGATAACAAGTAAGGCCACAACGTGTTTTAATTAAACAAAGGGTAGTTGTGTTGTAAGTTTATTTCTCTTACTTTCTGTTTGATAGTTTATTTTCCTCTGTTAGATAGGTTATTAGTAAGACCACCTTTCATTTCCCCCCTCTCTTTGATAAAGGTTTGGTTTCTTATCAGGCCTCTCTCCTTGGCTTATAGATGGTTGGCTGCCTTCTCCCTGTGTCTTCATATGATCTTCCCACTATGTGTTTCTGTATCCTAACCTTCTTCTTCCTTTTTTTTTTTTTGAGACAGGATCTCACTCTGTTGCCCAGGCTAGAGTGCAGTGGTGCAATCACAGCTCACTGCATCCTCAAACTCCGGGGCTCAGGCAATCCTCCCACCTCAGCCCCCTGAGTAGCTGGGACTACAGGCATGCACCACCATGCCCAGCTAATTTTTAAAATTTTTTATAGAGACAGAGTCTTGCTATGTTGCCCAGGCTGGTCTTGAACTCCTGGCCTCAAGTGATCCTCCTGTCTCAGCCTCCCAGAGTGCTGGGATTACAGGTGTGAGCCACTGCACCCAGCCTAATTTTGTCTTCTTATAGGAACACTAGTCATATCAGATTGGTGTTCACCCATATGACCTTATTTTACCTTAATTACATCTTTAAAAGGCCTATCTCCAAATATAGTCAACATTCTGAGGTGCTAGGGGTTAGGACTTCCACGTATGAATTTTGGAGAGACACAATTCAGCCCATATCAATATCTCCTTGAAGATACTCCTTGGTCCTTGATTGGACTTGGCAGTATTCTGAAGAGTCTTTGGCAAAAACTTGGGAAAATATTTAGCAGCATATCTACAAAATCTTTGTTATGCTTCTTCCTTTTAGGAGATGGTATATTGTTGATTCTACTTAACCTCAATTCTGATTTTATCCCCCAGTGTTGGAGCTGTCCAATGTTGGGGCTGTCCCCTGATCTAGCTTCCCTAAATGACCAAAAAAACTCAATAAATCCTGGAATCTTTTCTATGCTAGTTAATAAAGCCTGCCATCTGAATGTGTGTATGTGAGTGATATATAAATTTTACAGTTGGTGTGAATCTACTTTTACATCTTTTCATATAAATGAGAATAAAATATTAATATATTCATCTCTTTTAGCGTTTGTATATATATGATGGGCTGCATTTTGAGGTTTTGTTCCTGCAGGGCTGGCATCTGTACAGAGTTCTGCAGAGGAGAGTTTTATCTCCGTAAGCTGTTTGGAGCATTTGGACTCCTCCCTGCCTAATCTTATACAAGCTTTTTACAAACAATGTCCCCTGGGAAATCCATGGCCACCCTTTGACCTCCTAAGCTGGATACCACATCGCTGACTTCAGTGTGGTCCTTGTGAATAATGTTTTGTTTGGGGTCAGGAATATTTTTTAAGTGTGTGAAAACACAGCATGAGAAGACAGTGGAATTTTGGTACTATAGCTTTATAAAATATTGAAGCAAAGTCCCCATGTCCTAAATAAAATACCAAAATGTGAAAGACTCAAGACCGTTGTTTCAAGTTTTTAGAGTTACAAAGCTTGGCACATGAAATGTGCTTCCTCTTTGGCCTCCTTAAATTTTCTCAATCATGCTTGCTTGATTTCTTTCAGTACTGCCGAATGAGAGAAGCTTTCAGAATGCTGCTAAAAGCAATAATTTGGATCTTATGGAGAAGCTGTTTGAAAAGAAGGTTAACATTAATGCCGTGAACAATGTGAGTAGAAGTCACAAATATCACAAATGACTACTCCAAGTGGTGACTTGTGTTTTACAGGTCAACTGAAATAATAATAAAAATAAAAATGATTGTGCTGGCTGAGATGACGGAGATCTTTGTTGGTAATTCCGGGGTATTTAGGCTAAAGGTGGAATCAAGCAGTGAAATAGCCTCTGGATGTTCATTATGCACATCTGTACAAAGTCTGTAGGTGGTCAGGAAAGCCAGCTGTCAAGGTAATGGGCTCAGACTTGGTCCTGGGTTGTAGCCTGTGGATCAGTTTGGCCTCACACATTCTAAAACAGCAGAATGTGTTTTGCTATATACAATCTGTGTTGTTTTCTCTCCAATGATGTCCTTTGCAGTTGGGTTTTTCCAAATTTAAAATCCAAAGGGGCATATGGATTTTCTTTTTACTGCTTTTGAAATGTAGTGAATCTGCACTTTGGGCAATAAAGCCTTTTCTGAAACCTGGCTCTTACTTGTTCTTCAAATGCCAGGTTTTTGAGAGAGAAGTTCACTGCCAGAAATATGGATTCCCTACTGCTTGGTTTTGTGAGGATTTGCTGACAGCCCCTCAAGGCAGGGTTTATCAAAGTAAACAGATAGGGGGCTGTGTCAGTTGCTTAGGACAATTCGTGGAGTGGTTCAAGGTTGGTATAGCAGAGATGGATTTAATGCTAAATGAAGCCTAAACTTTAGGGCCCCTGCTTGCTGATACAGTCCCCTTCTAAGGCACTGGGAGGGCTCTAGCAATATGTTTTCATAGCTATATTATTATATAAAAATCTTAAAAATTAATACATTTTAACTGTAATTAGTTAAGCCTTCTGACTCTGTCTTTAAACAGGGCTCCCTAAATAGTCTAAACTCATGTTCCGGAAATCCTGTATCTGTCCCAGGCAGTAAGTCACAGAAACTGAAACTGTAGAGTCTGAGGTCACTCATCATATGCAGTGGAAGCATGTTTAGCAGAGGAGCATATGTGTATGTGAGAGGGTATGAGTTTATGTGTGTGGATTTACATGTCTATGTATATAGTGTGTGTGCATGTATGTATGTGTGTGTCTGATGTGTGTTGGGTGTATATAGTATTCCTGTTCCATAGATATCCTAGAAAGAGCAGAAAAACAGTAAACTTTTTTAACATAACAATTTTAGCAAGGAAAAAACAAGGAAAGAAATCCAGAAAGGAAGGAAGGGAGGAAAGAAGAGAAGATAGAGGGAAGGGAAAAGATATGAACAGACATAAGCAAGGATCATTGAAGGTAATATTTACATAGTTTCAAAAATATTTGTGGATATATATATCTGAAGATTATTATGACCATGGAAAATGACTTGTTGAATATGTGAAGCAGTAATCATTTTTCCAAGTAGCAAGAAATATTCTACAATATACTTTTTAACCATTTAAAATTTTTCTACATGCAACTTTCTGATACTTTAAACCATGTTTTTATGTTAAAGTACTTGGAGAGATAGAACAATCTAATATAATTTAACTTATAAACAGTGTGGCAAGCTATTTTAAATTCCTGATAAACTGTATTATACTTTCTAATGACATCTGTTTTAATCCTGTGTATGGCAAATTATTGACATCATTACTTGTGGAGTTCCTTAAAATCTCTGATTATAGAGAGTGAAAAGTGTAAATGGTTTTATTGAATTATCTTGGATGCTATTTTGGCTCACATCCTTAGTCACAAATAAAATTAATAGGGAAGCCTATAGGCCCAAATTTGACATAGTAGAGCAAATCTCTAATTGCAGACAATGTCAAAATAACTCATGTTTCGTCAAACTTATTTTATCACCAGTTTAGCTACTTTCAAAGTTGTCAGACTCAAAACAGAGTCACTAATGTTAAGAAAACTCTGACAAAAGAACCAGTGAGGACCATGAAGAGAGGATTCTCATGCTTGTGTGCCTGATAATAGAAACTATAGCAAAGGACTGCAAAAACCACAACCTTGCACAAAGGCCATTGCAATCTTACACAAAAGATAGTTCTGCAAGGACATCTGCCCAGCAACTGCCTGTCCAACCTCAGGCTGGCGTCACCCTTGTCATTGATCTTTGTAGCCAAGGATAATTATTTCAAAATAATTATGTAATCATCTTCATTTTTTTCTTTAAAAACGTTTGTGTTCCTTTACTTCCCTGAATATGCATAGTTTACTATGGCATGTGTATTTCTGTTGCAATGCTTTATTCCCTTATAAATATCTTTTCTTTTAGAGGTCTCTCTGATTTGTTATTCAGGTTTACACTACTAAGGAAATAAAATATTTAAACAGTTCTTATATTTTTGTGATTAATTATGCGAAACTAAGAATAATAAAGCCATGCCCAGGCATCTTCTTTGGGAGCAAAAACAGTCTAGAATATGGGAAATAAGACACATACATTACTTATAAGCAAAAACTCCATTGTCTGAAATGTATTGTACTGTCTCTGGGCATCCCAGGAGCACTGTGTTGACTTTCCTTTGGAGTGAAAGATATTCATAGGTTGCTTTCTTTGTCTTTCTCGGTGTCTGTCCTTTTCTGTGTCTGTCTTTCCTCCCTTCCTCTCTCCTTCCCTTCCTTTTGCTATCTTCCTTTCAGAAGCAATTTATTTATTTCAGTAAAATTTATAGTCTAAAAAAATTATAGAAGAAAGAACATGAATGGATTGAACATCTAAGAAAATTTTTGCTATGCAATATCAATATATTCTAAGCAGAAAAAATTACTATTATTAATGATTGCATATGGGGGGAAATACAACTTTTACTCTCTAAATGAAATTGATATATTGCTATATGATAGGTTATGCAATATGTTTCAGCTTGAGGTATATCCATCAGCAGATTGCCAAATTCTCTGATGTTACTGATAATGAAGGCGAAATTCAGCTGGACACAATTCTTACAATGTTCAAGGTAGAGGCAAAGAGTAAAGCGAAATAATCAAAATAGAAACAACTGATAGAAAATTATGGCCATTTAAGAAACAGGAGAACTAAAAAGAATAAATAATGATCAGATGACTAAAAACACAAACCATGTTTCCTCAGATGAACCGTACAGCCCTGCATTTTGCAGTTGGGGGAAATCATTTATCTGCAGTGGATTTCTTGCTTAATCACAAGGCCAGGGTGGATGTTGCTGATAAGGTAAGCCCATCTTCATTTGGTAGAATGTGTTGTAGCATAACCAATGTACAGGGAGAATCTGATCACGCCAGATGTCTTTTCTTCACATGCACACAAAGTATTTCCTTTAGCAGCATTCATTTTAGAAAGGTCTTTTTAGAGAATATACATATTATGTGCTTTTTGTATTTGGTGACTAAATTGTTTACCCATTACCTGTGGATTTGGGCTTTTGCTACTTTTCCTGTGTTGACCTTAGGGCCAATAGCATACATTTGTAAGAGTAAGGTGATGGTTCAGAACACAATCTGGGACATGGAAGACTTCTAACTAGCCTCAGGGATTAGGACTTTGTTATTTACCACCCCCCAACCTATGAGAGAAGTATTATTATAACAGCTAATTCACAGATGAGTAGCCTGAGACAGAGATCAAATATCTTGCCCCAAAAAATTACATCTAAGAAGGGTGAAGGAAGGATTCGAATGAGCCTATCTGATTCCAGAGACCATGCTGTTAGCTACAAATCAGCTTAACTATTTGTCTACCTAGATTCAAAACCCACTTTTAGGATTTTTCACCTACTTTTCCCAACTTTGTTTAATACTTTACCATGGCACAAGTAAACTGGGGCTAGAGAGACCCAGCATCATGTTCATCATCTCACATTGCGGAATATGATAGCCTTGCTCTAAAGTTCTTGTTTCTTAATTAATCCAGTGAGCCATAGTTCTCAAGTTAAACTGTTCAGGAATTTCCCACAGAGGTATTCTATTTTCTCTCTGAACTGTGACTCCCTGGAGCGTAAGCTCAGAATTGCTTTACCTTCATCTCACAGGGTCTGGATCTAGTACGTGCTTAGTAAATGTTTGGGAGATAAATGAATGAAGTCAGCTTACACCCATTGGTCATCTTGTTGGCAATCATAGACAAGGCCTAGACTTGATAATAACGAGAGTTTCTCTTTGTATCACCAGAAGGGCATGTCCCTCTCTAGTTTATTGCTCTGGTATTGGGGGACAAGTAGATTGTTAAGTAAGAAAAAAAAAAAATTGGCACCAAAAGCACTCTAACTTTGTGAGTGTAATTAGTTGTATTAATGGTTATGGTAATTAAGGAAAGTGTCCTTTAGGTCTGGAAATTGTCATTTTATTATTTTGCAATATTAGCCTACAAAAGACACTTTGGTAATAGGCCAGATTAGCCAAGTGTATTCTTATTTTGACATTGAAAATCTGATACAGTATCTTTTTATTTTACTTTAATTTTTAAATTAACATACTATACAAGTAACTTTCTTTTTGGTGCACAGTTCTATGAGTTTTAACACATGTATAGATTCATGTTACCGCCACCACAACCAAAATGCAGAACAGCTGCATCACCCAGAAAATTCCCTCATACTGCCTCTTCAGTCAAACCTCTCCCATGCTGGCAACCACTGATCTGTTCTCTATCTCCATAGTTTTGCCTTCTTGAGAATGGCATATAAGTGATTTATAGTATACAACCTTTTGAGACTGGCTTCTTTTACTCAACAAAATGCCTCTGAAGTTCATCCATATTGTTGTATGCATCAATAACTCTTGCCTTTTTATTGCTGAATATTACTCCAGTTTATGGATATACCACAGTTTACTTATCCATTTACCAGTTGAAGAACATTAGGGTTGTTTCCAGTTTTTGACTATTCTAAATAAAGCTACTGTAGATGTTTGTGTGTAACTATTTGTGTAAGCATGTTTTCATTTCTTTAGTATAAATATCTAGGAGTGAGATTACTGGGTCATTGGCTAGGCATGGTGGCTCACGCCTGTAATCCTAGCACTCTGAGAGGCCAAGGTGGGAGGATTGCTTGAGGTCAGGAGTTCAAGACCCAGTCTCTACTAAAAATAGGAAAAATTAGCCAGGTGAGGTGGCTCACACCTGTAGTCCCAGCTACCTGGGAGGCTGAAGCAGGAGGATCGCTTAAGCCCAGGAGTTGGAGGTTGCTGTGAGCTAGGCTGACGCCACGGCACTCTAGTCCAGGCAACAGAGCGAGACTCTCAAAAATAAAAATAAAAATAAAAAAATAAAGAGATTACTGGGTCATATAGTTAGTATATGTATGACTTTACAAGGAGCTGCCAGACTGTTTTTCAGAGTGGCCATGCCATTTTCACTTCACCAGCAATGTGGGAGAGTTCCTCCACTTGTTCTGCATCCTCGTCAGCATATGGTATTGTCATTTTCCCCCCTTAATTTTAACCATTTGCATAGGTGTGTAGGCATTTCATTGCAGTTTTAATTTGCATTTCCCTAATGGCTAATGATATTGAACATCTTTTCATGTATTATTTACCATTTGTATATCTTCTTTGATGAAGTGTCTAAATCTTTTGAACTTTTTTTTAATTTGCTTGTTTGTTTTCTTACTGAGTTTTCAGAGTTCTTTATATATTCTGGATACAAGTCCTTTGTTAGATATGTGGTTTGCAAATATTTTCTCACAGTCTGTAGCTTGTCTTTTTAGATGTTTTTCATAGAATAAAAGTTTTTAATTTTGATGAAGTATAATTTACCTATTTTTAAAAAATGAGTCTTACTTTTTGTGCTATTTCTAATTGCCTGACTTAAGGTCATGAAGATTTTCTCATATTTTTCTTCTAAAATTTTTATAGCTTCGTGTTTTACGTTTAGATATGTGGTCCATTTTGAGTTACTCTTAGTACAAGGTAGAAATAGATCGAGGTTCTTTTGTTTTTGCGTATGAATGACCAATTTTTTCAGCACCATTTGACACCAATGTTGCTTCAGTTTTCAAAACCTTTGCAGGGTTATTCGGATTTGTCCTACACGTGTGCCATTCAGGGATCAGTCTGAGGCCCAGGCAGTCTGAAGTCTACCTCATAGTTCAGTTCTCCAAGTCTTTGTCATGCTATTTAGGGTCAGTCCATGTGCTGTTCAGGCGTAAGCCGAGTAGTACACGCACAACTTTCTGGAATCCCTTTCTCAAGCTCCCTCTTCTCCATGATCATCTCCCCCATCTTCCCCAGGTCCCCCTGCCCCTTTTCCTGATCTTCTGTTTGGAAAGCCAAGAGTATAGTCTCCCAGCTCTGCTGTGTACTTCCCACAATTACACTGCCTCCGGGACCAAGCAGGGGGAGAGTAAAGCGAGAGAGAAAAAAGAACAAAAAACATGGCTCTTTCCTCCACCCTGCTTTCTGACCACAGTTCCTCTGGTCAGAGATAAGGATCCCCCTATGTCAGAGATTTAGGTATTTGTCCAGCCACTGCTGCTACTCCTACTACTGTGGAGGTGCAGCTTTGGGAATGGGGCTTAGCTGGGGGCAGGGCCAGAAGAGAAAAAAGATGCAGAGGACTTCTCCCACTTTCTCTGTTCTGTAGGGGCCCCCTTCTGCTCCTTAGAGCAGAAAAATAGGCCTTCTCTTGGAATTCAAGCAGTCCGTGCCCAGGACACAGTTCATGATTTGTGCTGCCTTGAGTCCAAGTTGGAAGATATGGAAGAAAAAAAGAACCAGGAAGTTCATTGTGGGATTATTCATACCATGAGTTCTAGTTTCCTTCCCCAATCCTCCAGCTGCCATTTATTTTTCAGTACTCAGCTATTCCATGCATTCTGTCCAGAGATTTTATTTAGTATATTTGATGGGAGAGACAGGGTGGGTGTGCTTACTCCATCTTAACCAGAACCATAACCCAAAATCTTTAACATACTATCAAAGTAGAGAGAATTGTACAACAAACACCTATATGTATCCATTGCCCAGATTGAATAGCATCTTTTTTTTTTTAAACAGCATATCTGAGGATTGCCATGTTTCTAATACATTAAATACAGAAATGGTTTATGTCAGAGTGTAAACCAATTATTTCTGAAATGATGGAGAGATATTTTACCTACTTGTTCTCTTTGAGGCTTTTCTAAACATATATTTGTATTACCCTATATGTGAAGCATGGCTCTGGCTAGCATTAGCTTCTCTTAACCTTGCCTTGTAAGAATGAAATGCTCTCAGGTGGGAAATATAGTAATTCCTGATATATTTAATATCCCTTTTCACTGCTTTGAAAGTTTTACCAAATTAAATATTTTTGTTACTGATTTAATCATTCATAGTGGCATTAGTATGTAACCAGCAAAATGTTTTTCATAATTCAAGCAATGCCAATTTGGGTCAGATCTGGCAGCATTTTTATCTGAGTGATGAGACTTGAGTTTGACATGGCAGATCTGTCTTCTAAATTCTAACACTCATTTACAAAGAACTAACACTTGAACCCCCTTCACCATCAGTACTTATTCAGTGCCTATTGTGGTTAAGTCTCAATGCCAACTACTGGGGATTCAGCTAGATGTAAGTCCTTGCTACTCAAAGTGTGTTCTTGGGATCAGAAGCGTGGGCATCACCTGGGAGCTTATTAGAAATGCAGAATCTCAGGCCCTACCCCAAACCTTCTGAATCAGAATCTGCAATTTAAAAAATCACCAGGTGATTGTGTTTGGGAAGCACTGGTATGAGACATAGTCCCAGCTTTGAGGTGCCTACTGTCTATCTAGGGAGCAAGGAGGAGACTGTAGCAGATGAGTACCAGTCAAGACACTGAGTGCTAAGGATCATATGTATGGCCTAGCCACTGAGCACCTCCAGGTTCAAAGTGGGCCACATCCCTGAATCTCGGGAAGAGACAGACTAGATAAATGGAGGCTCTTACTGCAGAGATGAACAGAGGATCCAGGTGGGCGTGCAGGTGGTACTGAGAGGATAATGATAAGCATCTGTGTTCAGAGCTTCTAGTTTCTGGGAAGCTCCTCAAGTGTGAGTGTTCTCCAGGGAAGTTATGGACCTTGTCTGTGACTAGACTGGTAATGAGGACAGGCTGTCGGTGACTATTGAGCATTTCATGCTTCACAGAGCATCAGGAGCCCACTGTGAGTGTGATCCATGACACATGCTCTTAAAAAGTCTCGGACATGCCAGTTTCATATCAGAAGAATTTGCTTTATGATGGTTCTTCTGGGGGAATTTACATCTGTAAGCAGTGATTCATTGCCTCTGAGGAATGATGGCTCCACTCTCAACTTGTGGTTTTAGAGACTCAAGTTGTTTGCAGCTTGAATTCCCAGCTGTTAGATTTTATGATCTGTGCCTGGAATTTTTAAATGTTGGTTGCTTTGAAATTAGGAATGACTTCCTAGGGAAAAATAGAGCTCCTATCAAAGTATGATTTATCACCTGTCTCAAATAGTTTTGGTCTCATAAAAGAGACCATATGTGAAACCAGATTTAGTACTACTGAATATGGAGCATTGATTTGTAGGGAAGGCTAAATTAAGAGATGGAATTGTGTTTAGGGCACATTATTTTTAAAAACCCTCAACTAGTTAGTCATTGTACATCATTGTTCCTTGGGACAAAGAGTGCAGAAATTGTTAAGAGTTTTGTTCATGCTGGAATTGTAAATATGTAAATGGACTAACTCACCATCTATTATGACAGCCGAAATGTAAATTTGGTAGGGTATGTACATTTGCAGCAGAGTTTCTCAACAGTGGTACTACTGACTTTTGGGCTAAATAATTCTTTGTTGTGGGGGCTTCCTTGGGCATTGTAGGATGTTTAGCAGCATCCCTGGCCTCTACCCACTAAGTGCCAATATTATCCTTCAATCATGACAACCAAAAATGTCTCCATACATTTCCACGTGTCCTCTGGGGACAAAATCACCCTCAGTTGGGAACCACCAATTTAGAGTCATACCTCAACAATCTGAAACTTGCTGTTTCATTCTCCCAGCTCTACTGAGAATAAGAGAATACATTAATGCAATTTCTGGGGCAGCCAAAATAAACGCCAAAAGGCTTATGCACTTTACAGATAGAAGTGCCCCGCAGACCTTCATTCCTTATTTATTATTCATACTGTGTACATCTAGCAAACTGGTTTCCTGGATTACAAACACAGCTGATTAGTAGAGGCAAATAAGAGGTAGTGAAAGGGCTTGCTTTGGGCAGGCACTGGTACAAAGGAAATGGATTACTTTTTGACAGCGATAAAAGGAAAGAGAAGAGCAGACACAGGAATTTATAGATAACGAAGCTCAGGCTGAGAGTTAACTGAGTTGACCATGATCACAGTACTTGAAAGTGGTGGTGAGTGACCAGAACAGGACGTCAGTTCTGATTGATCCTAAAGATCCTGCTCATCATGTCTGCCCTACATTGCTTCCCTAGGTAGAGATCAGTTTTTGTCTGTTTACTTCCCTCCAATCCCACTTTCCTGAAATAACCAATGTCAACTGCTGGCTGTATTTCCTTTCACACTTTTCTCTCTGCTTATTCAGTATACAAGTCAGCATACAACTGCCCACAGCATCCCTACAGGTAAGTTCTGATCTGAATCTCACTTTCAGTCTAACTACTTTATGCATTCATGTGTATGTGCACACACACACCCCTGTATAATTTTGTATAAATGGAATCTTTTAAATAGCTTCTGTATAAATGGGATCCTTTTTATAACTTGTCTTTGTTGGGTTTTTTTTCAGTTTTGTGTACCCTCCCCTCCTCTAGTAACTACATCAACAATCTGAGATCTGTGTTTATTTCTGTGCTTTTTTCTGTGTTCATATAATCATATCTATATCAATCTAGCTACAATAGATATAGATATGTACATATACACATGGGGATTTTGTTGCTTTTTTAAAAAACAGGATTATATTAATATTATATTTATTTTCCACGTTATTTTCCATATTTAGCAAAGCTCATGGAAATCTTTCCAAATCAATTGTTACAGTGCTAATTCATTATTTTTAATGGTTGTATTATGTGGTATGACTATCCCACAATTTATTTACCATTCCCATGTTGATAGGCATTTGTTTTGCTCCCAGTTTTTAGTGTTACAATTAATATCCAATGTATAGCCTATATATATCCAATATATACAATGTATATGTAATATTAGGTCCTGAAATTTTATTTTCATGGGCTAGATCCCAGGAGTAGAATTGCTTGTTGTATTTTAATTTTATTAGATATTGCCAGATTGCTTAAACAATAATGGTTTCCATTCCCTTTCTATCCATTTATCTGTCAGTTTACTTATCTTTTTCTTGTTGATTTATAAGAGTGCTTCATGTACTAGAGAATAATCATTTATCCTTATTAAAGATACATTTTTTAAAGATCTATCATTTATTGACTGTATTTATCATCTGCCTTTTATAACTCTGGATTAAGAGACTGTACATTATAGTCTGGATTTTGTTCTAATCTATTTATTGTTTGTGTGCTTTTTTGCGAGTGTAGTGTGATATAGCATTTCATTTTATTTTCTTCCAGATGGAGAACCACTTGTGCTTGTACCACTTATTAAACATACCATTTTTCCAACACAATTGGAATATTACTTTTGCTGTATATTAAATTGTCTATTTCTAATTTTCAACAACGTAGTATTAACTTGGCCTTTTTGATGAGATAGTTTGCCATGGCTCATTGAGTGATAGATTCTCTTCTTTTCTCTTCTTGGGGAAGCATGGCTTGACAGTAATTCACCTTGCAGCCTGGTCTGGAAACCTTGAGATCATGCTCATGCTGGTTAGAGCTGGAGCTGACCAGAGAGCCAAGAATCAGGTAGGTATGTGGGTCACACTTGGACATAAGTTCTCACCTCACTGTTGCAGGAGAGGGCAAATTCTGAGGTCACTCTGTAAGTATCACCCACTCCCCCCTCCTCCGGGTCTCTTTAGGATGGAATGAACGCCCTCCACTTTGCAGCTCAGAGCAATAATGTCCGCATCATGGAGTACCTCATTCAAGATCTGCACCTGAAGGACCTGAACCAGCCTGATGAGGTGTGTTTACAGTGGTTGCACAGTTCTTGCATCCACACCCACCAAATTCTGCTGTCTTCCTCCCCCTGATAGAGCTCCAAGAGCAGCCATCAGAGACAGACCTAGCCCTGTAGCCAGCTCCTCCATCACCGTGGCAGACTGTGGAATGGAAGGGATGTATTGGTGTTGGTGGTGATCCTAGCCCCTGCATGTGGGGAGGACAGGAAGTGTTGAGGAAGCAGCCAGATTCTTTCTTCCCTTTCTGCTCCCACATCCTGGCCAGGGTGTGCATAGTATCCACCCCCTTTAATATTCGGAATGTGTGCCTAAAGTGTATTCTATTCTGCTTGGCCTTTTTGGAATGCATTTGACCCAAAGCTATACAGCAATGAGCCATGGAATATAATGCAGTTAAATTGTATTTGTCTATATTCCTTTTATTTTCATAAGGAGATACAGAATAATTCCAGCTACACTTAATGAGTGTTTATTAATGTGCTAGGAACAGAGAAAGATACTTACATACATTATTTCAGTAGTAAGAAGTCTAGGACCTATCCCTTATGATACTTAACAAATCACTGTCGGAGGAATGAATTATCTCATTAATCCCCACAACAATTCTGTAAGGTAGAGATATTTTGCTATTTTTTTAGAGGTGAAGAAGTTGAGGCTCAGAGAAACTACGAACCTGATCCAAAGTCTCAAAACTAAAACGTGACAGAGCCAGGATTTGAAGCCAGGTCTGGCTGATTCCAGTCGTCATGCTGTACTTTCTCCCTTCTCAGATGACGGTGGGCATTGCCCATGTGCCAGAGACTGTCTTTTCCCTGTAATATCTCCCTCTATGCTTTTTCCATAGGCGACAGTAGTAGCCTTTGTGCAGTTGGCATTTTGATTCCTCATCAGTGGAATATACTTCATGAATGGGACCTACTTTTCTCTGCACCACTAGAATATTTTTCTCCATAAAAGTTTCTCTAGAAGTTGATCAGTAATATTCCCTTCATTTCACTTGTTTTTAAAAATTTTTTAGTTTTTCCTGACCCCAATCTTAATAACAATAACAACAACAAAAATGATTTCTTCAAATTAGGTCTATAAACTTCTTTTACTTCCTCTACATATGATTAAAGAACTATGTATTTATAGCTTGGAGGCAGACAGACTTGGGCTATACTCAGGCAGTGCCACAATATATTAGTTATGTGGCTTTAAACAAGTTCTCCAACTGCTGAAGGCCTCAGTTTCTCCATCTGTCCAATGGAATTAATAAAATCTACTTCATGGTAGCATCAACAATGATAGAGGAAGTCTTGTCCCCCACATAATTTTTTTTTTCTCAGCAAACTTCCATTCTTTGATGCAGATGATTGATATTTCCTCAATCTTATGTAAAAGTACCTATGCAAATGAGGTTCATGATGGGGCATTCCACAACCCCCTTCCAACTACACAGTACCCCTAAGCCATTCCTATGTAGCAATATTGGAGCAGCCACTGTTGAGATGCTTAAAGGAGGTAATGACTATAACACACTTAGCACAGAGTCTGGCACATGCTAAGTGCTCACTAAATGGTAGTTATTGTAACAATAGTTATAGGATAAAATGTGCTACCTGATTTCCTCAAACTGGCAATCATAGTCAAACACCATTTAGTATCAGGGTGAGGAAGTGGGCTCTTTCCAGTTTGATCCATTGTAAGTAGGGATGTGGCCTGTGAATGAATTCCATTCCATTCAGTTCAGCAGATATTTGTCGAGGGTCTGTTAGGTATGAGACACACAGTTTATTCCCCCTTCAGTGGACTCTGACTGCTTTCATGAGAAGGATCAGGCAGACTGATGAGGTTCTAAGACCAAAGCAGGGAGCCTTCCCCACTTCCTGAGTTCCTGCCAGCCAGCAGCCTTCCTGTCCATCATCCCTTTTCAGCTGGTTCTGGGATCGTCCTGAGCCTTTCCTCCTTCTCTGACTATCTTTTGGGGAAAGTCTGAGGAGCCCTGGCAGCAGACTGTGCAGAGCCACATGTCCAGCTGAGAGATATTAAATTAAGATGGATTCAGAGACATATAAGAAATGAACAAATAATGAGTCCACTGGGTCATCTAGGGAAACAAGACTTTCTGAGTCCGATTTCAGTCCTGCATGAAAACTGGATTGATAATGGAAAAGACAAAGTCTACTTTTTTTCTAAGATCTGTGAGTGGAGTCAAGTATGTTGGCAAAAGGCAATTAAAATGGTACTTGCCAAGGGCTGGGGGGGGGGAGGAGAATAGGGAGTTATTGTTTAATGGGAACAGAATTTCAGTTTTGCAAGATGAAAAGGGTTATGGAGATGCATGGTAGTGATGGTTGCATAACAGTATGAATGTATTTAATATCACTGAACTATACACTTAGTAATGGTTAAGATGGCAAATTTTATGAGTATTTTACCACAATTTAAAAAATTAGAAAAGAAAAAGCTAATTGGAGCTGGGGCCAGGAGCTCAGGGTCTATTCATTCAGCATTGGGTTTCCCATCTGTACTTGTTTAACGGTACTGTGGAGTCATGAAATGCATTGGATAAAATTCTGAGACCACTCCACCTGCACAGCGTTACCCTCTTGCCTAGTTTCTTATCAACAGAAAGTGACTGGGAGCCTGTTTACCTACCAGGATTAGTAAAATCCTTCTCTTTGGCCTGGAGGGAACTCCAAAAGCTAACAAGGAAAGCTTTCCTAGGAGGAGGCCTTTAAAACAGAAGGAGAGTTTGGATGGGAGTGGGAAAGATGGAGAATGGGAGGTGGGGGGAAATCTTTTGAGATGTCTCCCAGCTCCATGGCCTAGAGATCCTTGAGAGGAGAGAGATTAGAACAGCCAGAAGTTATGGATAAAGTCGTCTAGATATTTTGAATCTACATGTAAACTTCCATCTGGTGATCAAAAATAAATACTCAGAGTAACATGTTTGGAGAGGGAGGGAACTAGAAAGGAAAGCCTCAGAGGCTGTTCATATATTTGTTGAGTATTTACAAGAGTTTGGTGGTTCAACGTTAGATTGGTTTCAGCCACAGATATAGGGGAATTTCCGTTGGTTTAAAGGAGTCCATAGAGGAAGTCTCTGGAAGCCAAAATGCAAAGAAGCTTCTTTTTTTGGAGGAGTGGGGATAATGAACATAAGGGGAGTTAAGAAGACAGCTGTTTTCTTATATAGACATAAGAAAATATTTAACAACCTTAGATTTAATCAAGCCTGCTGCCTCCAGTCTGTGAGGGGAGAACTAACCCGGTGTCTCCTGCCCTGTCAGTGCCACCTCTTAGTATTCATTGATAACATGTTGTTCTTACAGCACCTCGGCCTCATGGCACACATTATTTTCCCTCTGAAATCTCTAGCTATTCAAGGTTTTCCCCTTACGCTGGAGTTCTGCTTTAAGTCCCTACGCCAGGGTAAGGAGAGATGCCATGAGTATAGACGTGCACAGGAGGATCTGTGGGGCGTTGTGCTGGGCCCACCTGGTACCTCTCCACAGGGCCTCCCAAACGCAAGGCTTAATGTAATACACAGGTGCCTGAGATGGGGTCTGGCACATAGTAGCTTCTCAGTAAATAGTTGAGTAAAAAAACTATTGAATAAATACAGAAAGTTCATAAAATTGCTGCATTTGAAAGAGAGTCTTGTCACCTGACTGTGATGTTGTTCCTCTCCTGATGCTTGGGAGGACCCTTTCTGGGCAGTACTCCTCTGCCCTCATGAAACTGATTCCATACTGATGTGGAGTTCCCCAGAATTTTGGGTGACAGCCCAGAACTAAATCTGGTTTGGGGTCAGAGAGATTGTCATCTCCCTCCTCTAAGAAGAGACTAGAATGCTGTGACCAGAAAGACCATCTTGGCCCCTTCATCATCCTCAAAATATTGCTAGCTTTGTCAGTTGTCTTGCTTATTCGCTAAGGGTGTAATAAATGCTGGAGCTTTGTGATTGATTTTCAGAAAGGAAGAAAACCATTTCTTTTGGCTGCTGAAAGGGGCCATGTGGAAATGATAGAAAAACTTATCTTCCTTGATCTGCATACTTCAGAAAAGGACAAGGTAAGTTGGACTTTATTTCTTTGCGGAGAACAAGAGAAAGGATAGTTAGTACCAGTTGATGTGGGAGAGTAACAATTGGTGTGCGGATTTGGTGAGGGCATTTTGGTCAGCAGGAGAGTTGTTAAATTGTTACTATAGTCAGAATCATGGAACACCTGTGCAAATCTATCCACTCATGCTGTGGATTGCCCAGATTGGCAGTTTTTGCTCCATAAACATTTGTGAAGCCAATAGACTACATGGATTTTTCCACTGTCAACTCCAACCCTCTCTTCTCCCCTGAAATCTCCTGGAGACTCAGCCCCTCATGAATGGGGAGGGAAAAGCCCCGAGGGTAGGCACCCATATCCATATGTACATCTTTGATGATTTTCTTAGGGGAAATTCCTAGATGTGGAATTGTTGGTCAAAGGGTCCTGCGTATTTTTAAATCTTTGGTATATGATATTGCTAACATTACCTCCCAGAAATCTGTCACCGGTTTACCCTCACACAGGTTAAATGGAATTACTTTTGCTATCCCACTTTTTGCTAGCTAATTGGTAGCAAAGGTAGAAAAAGGAGCATGAATTTTTTTTTTCCTACTGTTTCAGTCAGCTATGTCTTTTCATTTAAAACTTAAAAGTTTGTAAATTTCACTTAACACTGCAGATAATGTGGTCCACACTCTGGAACACAGCTTTAACCAAAATGACAGCTTCCGGAAGCGCTATTGCAGCCCTTATTATGAAAGGGGCATGTTCCCCAGCACGGGGGATTCTGCCTTGAGTGTGTCTCTGTTGCAGGAGGGAAACACTGCCCTGCACCTTGCTGCAAAGCATGGTCACAGTCCTGCAGTGAAGGTGCTGCTGACTCAATGGCAAGAAATAAATGAGATGAATGAGGTACGTGGAAGTGTTCATTACAGATGGGACAGGGCTTAAAGGGGAAAGGGCTGGAGGAATGGCTTTCAAGAAAAGAATGGGAGGAAAACAAAGATGTTAGTGACACAGGGTGTAAAATGTGAGGCTAAAAGATTCCTACTTTTTTCTTCAAAGTATCCCACAGCACTTCTTTTGTTGATTCATGTATTTATTCACCTATTAATTTTAAAAGTTTGTTTAATATGTACTTTATGCTAAACAAAGTATGTATTCTTATTCTAGAAGCCTGCAGGGCAAGAAGGGCATGGAAAAAAATAATGTATTGGGCTGCATGCAATAGTAGGTGTTTATACAGTACACCATGAGAACACAGAGCAAAATCTGTTTGAGAAATTACAGTTTTCACACAGGAGGTGATATATATATTGTCTGAGTCTTGGCATTTGAATGGACATTGGCAGGAGGGGGTTTGAGGAAGGCACAGCTGTAGAATATTTCAGACAGAGGGAAGAGGCCATGTAAAGGAAACAAGGCCTGAAAGAGAAAGAGCATGGTATGTCCTGGGACTGACCAGTTCAGGGTGGCAGAAATTAAGGAAGAGTTAGCTTGGAAAGCAGGAGCTGAGTGGGCCCAGCAGACAGATGGTAAGAGGCTGTGCTTACCAGGAGAATGGTTCAGCTTTGATGCATTGCCAGCAGAGACCTTGAAGGGTTTTCAACAGCAAGGAGGGATGGGATCTACCCTGGGTATAGGCAGGTAACTATCACAGCTGTTTGAAGGGTAGATTAGTGCTGGGAGAGCCAGGAAGTGGGGAAGCCCAGTCAGGTGACTGCCGAAATGGAGGAAACAAGATCTATGGAAGACCTCCACCGAGACACTCACAGGCAACAAACAGGATAAAGTGGCAGGAGGAGGCAGAGTCCACAGGACATGTGACCAGGCTTAGGGAGAGGGAGGACTTTCTGACCCTAGCTCCCTGGATCAGGCTATTGGTGGGGAGCACAAGGGAGGAGCAGGTGAGTGGGTGGTTAATGAGGGTTTGCGTGGGTTTGGTTTGAGCACCTGGGAGGGGGTACATACAGGTAGAGAATGGTAGGGAGCTAGAAACTGGGTCTGGGGTTTAGCCAGGGGGCAGAGGAGGGTGTTGGCTGTGGAGGCAGATTTGTGAGTCACTTCTTAACCTTTGGGTCAATGATTTTTGGGCTGGCTCTTTGGAGACTCAGGTGAGTGAGATCCTCTTGTACTTCATAGCTTAATGTTCTGGTAATTTCTAAACTTGGTCCTCTCCTAAGAGATGCTGGAAGAAGTAATATCATAAGCATTTAAATTAAGATACTGTTGATTGTAAGGCACACCATTATTTTATGTAACACTAAGCCTGCCAATTTAACTATGACACAAAACAGCTTTCTTGTCACTTAGACTATTTTATGCTGCCTATTGAAAGAGTTTTTTTAGACTTATATCTTAGATTTCTTTATCATACATAAAGGACAAAAGATAAGCTGGTTAAGTAGTCCTAAACTTCACATTGAGTTTGATTCTTCTATTCGGTCTTCATTTTCTTATTCATTCTTGATATCCTTAACTCCAAAGGTGCTTGAGATGCATGCAGTATTTCTTAAAAGGATGTCCACTATTGTTTCTGATATTTTCTTGTAAGCCACTGACACCCATTCTGATATAATGCACTGCTCAAACAATGACAATTATATCACGTCTGTCACCTGGTTGACTGAGATAGCCCTCATGTGCTAGTCACCTCCTAAAGGCTACCTCTTAATATTATTGCATTGGGGATTAAGTTTCAACATGAATTTCAAAGAGACACAAACATTCAAACCATAGCAGAGGCTGGGCACGGTGGCTGACACCTGTAATCTCAATACTTTGGGAGGCCAAGACAGGAAACTTGCTTGAGGCCAGAAGTTTGAGACCAACCTGGACAAAATAATGAGACACCGTCTCTACAAAAATCTTAAAAAATTAGCTGGGCATGGTGGCTGGTGTTGGCAGCCCCAGCTATTCAGGAGGCTGAGGTGGGTGGGTTGCTTAAGCCCGGGAATTTGAGGCTGCAGTGAGCTATGATCACACCAGAGTGAGACCCTGTCTCTTAAACAAAACAAAACTATCGCAGAGCTCAGGTCTTATAGTCTTAGAACTTAAGTCTTTTTATTTTGGTGAGACAGAGTCTAGCTCTATTGCTCAGGCTAGAGTGCAGTGGCATTGTCATAGCTCACTGCAACCTCCAACTCCTGGGCTCAAGTGATCCTCCTGCTTCAGCCTTCTGAGTAGCTGGAACTACAGGCATGTGCCACTACACTCAACTAATTTTTTCTATTTTTTGTAGAGATGGGGTCTCACTATATTGCTCAGGCTGGTCTCAAACTCCTGGCCCCAAGTAATCCTACAGCCTGGGCCTCCCGAAGTGCTAGGATTACAGGCGTGAGCCATCACACCCAGCCGTGATTTAAAGTCTGAGTCATGCTTGCCCTGTTCTGTTTAAAACTTTATCACTGGAATATGTGCACATAAATTTCATCCACCTTTTATTAATAGCTATTTTGGAGTCAGGGCACACTGGGGAGAACTCATAAAGTCCAACAAATTTTAATTGCAGATTGTGACAGGTCTCATTTGCACAAAATGAATATACAGTGATAATAAGATTCATAATGTTCATACAGCCATGGGCTGCCTCTACTTCCTGATACAGGCGGTTGCCAGATCAGTTAGAGTGACCCGTGACCCATGTGTATATGCTCTAGAGCAGTAGTCTCCAAACAGTCTTGGTAGCAAACTCATATTAGTAAAGAATGTTTGGGCATGTGCCTATCACATATACACTTATAAATAATATATTATAAAACATGTGCCAGAAATAAAATATAAAGAAAAATAGCAGCTTTATATTTTTTCCACACTCAAAGAATTATCTTATAGACATCTGATGTATTTCCCTTCCAGTTTCCTTTGTGTTACTTTGCATATACCTACAGTATATTTTTAGCAGCTGCCCAAAATCCATTCAACTATTCTTTAGCTCTTGGATATTTAGTTTGTTTCAGTTTTTGTATATTATAGGTAATTCTGTCACAAGCCTCTTTGCAATACCTTAGTCTGAATTCCTATTTCCTTTGGGTATATTCTTAGAGGTAGATTATTGGGTCAAAAATATGAATCTTTATTAGGCTCTTGATATATTAAAGATGTGAATTCTCTCCTTCACATTTTTGCAAATATTTTTCCCACTGGAGTTTGTCTTTTGGCATCTCTTTTCCTGGAAAAATGAGAAGACAGATTATGGGGAGAAATCCCTTTATAAGCAGATGGCTGTCCTGGGCACTGAGGTAAAGCAGCCTGGAACACAATTTTCCCACCCCGTTGGGATGGGAACACTGGTGTCCATGCTCTTGTCTTCCTGTTGACATGGTTGTTCATACCTCATTAGCTACAAGTAAAGCCTTCTGAACTTATCCTAATGTACTCATTAAGAAAATAATGTCGGCTGGGCGTGGTGGCTCACACCCGTAATCCTAGCACTCTGGGAGGCCAAGGCGGGTGGATCACTCAAGGTCGGGAGTTCCAGACCAGCCTGAGCAAGAGCAAGACCCCGTCTCTACTAAAAATAGAAAGAAATTAGCTGGACAACTAAAAATATATTTGTATAAAATTAGCCGGGCATGGTGGCGCATGCCTGTAGTCCCAGCTACTCGGGAGGCTGAGGCAGGAGGATGGCTTGAGCCCAGGAGTTTGAGGTTGCACTCTAGCCCGGGCAACAGAGTGAGACTCTGTCTCAAAAATAAAAAAAAAAAAAAAAAGAAGAAAAACAAAATAATGTCCAAACGGGGAAATGGCTAGGAAATGGGGAAGGAATTCTGCATTTCTTCCGAATATTTTTAGAAAAGAGTCAGCATGAGGAACAGGAAATACCTAAGCAGCTACTTTGTGGGGACCAGTTCCTTCTTTTTCCTCTATGTGTTGACCTGAATTAAACTCTCACTTTATCCTACTAGTATTAATCCTGAGTTTCAGGAGAAGTACTGGGATTACTTTTTTAAAAATTAATATTATTTGTTAAAAATGATATGCAACATTTTAAATCAGTTGTAAAGATTAAAGCTGTACTTTGTACAAGTGTACTTCTAATTTTTTATGTTTCATGCTGTATTATAATTCCCTTTTCCAAGATTATCTTTCTTAACAGGCTGTTACCTTCTCGTGGTCAGCGTCTGTGTCCTATGTATCTTCCAATCCCAATACACACAGTTGAATAAATGTTTGCTACATAAATTAGTAAATAAATGTGAAGAGTGTGAATGGTGGATGGAAAGTCTGAAAGGACACGCCACGGCAGAGTAGTTAAGAGTGCAGGCTTTGGAGCCAAACAGCTGGACTTGCATCCTAGCTTTGCTGCTTTTATTATATGTAAAATGAGAATAATGTTAACCTTGACCTTATAGGTTTGTGTGAGTTAACTGTACCAAAGCACGTGCTCTTGGCAGTATCAGCTGACACATAGTTGCTCAATAAATGCTATTCATTTTTTTTATATATTTTTTTCATGTAACACTGTTTTGAAGACAAAATGCTATCTGTTATTAAGAGTAATGCACAAAAGGTATAGAGAAAACACACTGTCAAGTAATTTCATTCCACGACAAGGGACAATTAATTTTAACTCATTTTTCCTTTTGTTAGAATGGAGAAACACCATTCCTTCTGACTGTTGAAGGAGGTCATGAAGAATGCAGCAAAGTGTTACTGGCAGCAGGAAGTGATATCAACATTCCAAATAAAGTATGTGCTCCAGGCATTCTCACACGTGCAGTGGGAGCTTAAATGTTCTTTGGGGACTCTGGTTCTGCATTAGTCTACTCACTGGGATTTTGTTGAATTAATAGTTATAATATGCTTTGGTTTTTGTAAGAATTAATGATTTACTTCTGATATTCCCCAATTAACATCTCCTCTAAAGCAATACCATTCTTTCTGTTAATTTGAGGAAGGAATAATTGAAGATGGGACAAAAGGAGCAAGTACTTGTCACTTCTTAAACACTGATACTCTTATTCTACTTTGTTTTCTGCATAGCAACTAATACATGCCTGGCTTATACAGAGTAGATGCTGGGAAAAAAAAGGCTTATCGTTTGAGAACTCAAGTGGTCAGCCTGGAGTGTGAAGAAGGCAGGATGGTGCTTTCCTCTAAAGACAGAACATTATTGTATGTAGTCACTTTTTTTTTTTTTTTTTTGAGACAGAGTCTCACTCTGTTGCCCAGCCTAGAGTGCCATGGCGTCAGCCTAGCTCATAGCAACCTCAAACTCCTGGGCTCAAGCAATCCTTCTGCCTCAGCCTCCCGAGTAGCTGGGACTACAGGCATGTGCCACCATGCCCGGCTAATTTTTTCTATATATTTTTAGTTGTCCAGCCAATTTCTTTCTATTTTTTTAGTAGAGACGGGGTCTCACTCTTGCTCAGGCTGGTCTCAAACTCCTGAGCTCAAACGATCCTCCCGCCTCGGCCTCTCAGAGTGCCAGGATTATAGGCGTGAGCCACCGCGCCCGGCCTGCAGTCACTTTTGTATGTATGTACTGAGAAGCTTTGAAACTTTTGAGACTGTATTATTATCATCATTTTTTTAGATCAGAGAACTAGAATTTGGAAAAGTTAAGGAACTTCTTCAGGATCATACAACTAGTCAAGGGCAGTACAAAGATTCAAACTTATGTTTGACTCCACCGCAATGGCCTTGTTTTCAGATAGTTTACTTCCTTTTTCTATTTTTCTATTTCATTATAATGAAAATAACTCATGACAAAAAAATTTCAAAAGTTCCAAAGGGTAAATGAAGAAAAAGTGTCTTATTCCAACCTCACATCTCAAGGTCATTCTCCAGAACTAACATCATTAATAGTTCATTTAGTCTTCCAGGAATTTTCCATGCATTCACATGGAAAATATTATTAGACACACACACATATATAGACCAACACCACATAAATGGTAGCACACTATATGGCATATGCTGCTCTGCATCTAGGTTTATTTATTTCTTTTGATTGCCAATATATCTTAGAGATCTTTATATCAGCACATTATATAAACAATTCCTCTTCAAAAGGTACAAAATTGAAACACTAGAATTGAGATTAAAGTCCCAAACTGGTAATGTCTTATAACCTGTATTCTGCTGGTGGGAGTATATATTTGTATAAGCCCTTTGAAAAGCAATTTGTCACTTTCTTTTCATCCATGGGAAGTTATGTTAAGGGAATACTCTAAAAGGAGGGAAAAGCTAGCTACATGCATTAAAATAGATGATAAAGTTAGCTCCAATAGCCAAGAATTAGATACAGCATGTATGTGGAATGAATGGTAGGAGAAGACAGAATAAAAGTTTGGTGCATCTATTTCTTGCAAATTATATAACCATTAAAAATTTTAATGATAGATACTAAAATTGTATTGCAATATAGACAATTTTCATCATAGAACATGAATTGAAAACAATATATAATAAAATATAAATATTAATATAATAATAATAGATTTTATAGAGAGAGACAAGGATAGTGAGGGAAAGTGGAAATGAAGATGGTGTGAGCTGATTCCCACTGAAGTTGCAAGGTTATTGATGTAATAAGCAAACAAAATTAAGAGTTCATGGGCGCCGTGAAATATTCAGCATGTGGAGAGCTGTGCTACTGTTCAGTCATCGTGCAGATGCTGCCCTGTCCCCAGTCTGTATCCCCCGTAAGGCCTCCCAGGTTAGCAAGACTCTCTTAGGCTCACTCCATTGTTCTGTCCCCTCCCTCACTTCTATATTTGATTATTTTGCCCTCACAGGGATTTTGTTTTGTAGTGATTTTCACAAGCGAACGTTCTCCCACCGGACTAAGACTGCAGGCTCTCTGTTGTCCATATCCTCACAGCCAATGGCCTCAGCTACCTTGTGAACAGGCTCTAGGCGGCCTGGAAATTGTCTTGCATCCATTTTTCAGCTTTTATTTCTTTTAGAATATTTCCCAAGTTCATTATCACACTGCTCAGATCAACCACCTCAGCCCCCACTGATACCTGCACTACCTCTGTCAACCCGGTGAAGGCCTGGTGAGGCAAGCAGTGTGAAGCAAGGAACCAGCAGTGTGGACACACGTTTCCACAGAGTGGGTCAGACCTACTTTTGCTTTCACACCTGTAGGTGATCGCTGTGTTTGAGCTTGGAAATGCTTCACCTGCTGACACTGTCAGCCTTGGTCTCCAGATTGCTTTTGTGCTCCCCGCCCCACATCAGCAAGGGGAGCCGGTAAAAGGTTGAGTCACTTCTGAGGAGGAAACTGAAGTGAGATTTCGAATTTAGTGGACAGCAGGCTTCCTCCTTTTGTGCTGGATGGAGGGGCTGCCCAGAGTTTGGGCAGCAGGCTCTTTTCAGGACCTTATTATCTGCCCTGGGTCTGATGATGACTTTGGTAGGTCTGAAGAACTCGTATTTCTGCAGGTCCAACCTCATGTCTTATCACACATACTTAAGTGCTCCCACATTCCATTTGAAATATATTTTTGTTTGCTGTTAATTACTCTAAAAGGCTATTTTTGCTTTTACAATTACTTGGCTATGACAAACTCACCTAATTTATGATTGACTCTGATTTTTTAGAACTCTGTGTACCTAATTGAGAATTTAAGGGAGGTGAAAAAATGTAACCTACAAATTGTTTACAAATATAATGAATATTTTATGAATATTACATTTAACAATCAATGAAGTATGAATGTCAATTAAATATTTATTTACTTCATTTTCGTGGTTTGCTTTTGATATCTTGGAGCCAATAATTTTTTTGTTTTAGATTTCAAAGATTTCTTTGGCTCTTAAGAAATCTGTAGGCCCTACACTGCCTGTAGTGCCTCAGGGGTAAATGCTGCAGACCCCCATAGCTCCTCCTGCTATAAGATTCCTGCTTTGAGTTTGTCACAAATTTCCTTCTGCTTTAGGTGGCCTCAGATTTTCCTAGTGGGGGCACATTTTGCCATTCTGATCTCGGTTTAAATGTCACCTTATCCAAGAAGGCTTTTTTTTTTTTTTTAGAGAGACAGAGTCTCACTCTGTTTGCTCAGGCAATCATAGCTCACTGCAACTTTGAACTCCTGGGCTCAAGCGATCCTCCCACCTCAGCCTCCTGAGTAGGGGAGCGGCTATAAATATAGATGAAGCTTTGCTCACTAGCCCACTGCTCACCTCCTGCTGTGCTGCCCGGTTCCTAATAGGCTACGGACCGGTACCAGTCTGCAGCATGGGGGCTGGGGACCGAAGATGTGGTCTGTTGTTGACCAAAATCCATTGTTATGTGGCATATGACTATAGTTGTACTCTTTGATTATATTAATTGATTACCATGTGATAAACACCAGAGAGCAGGTTGGATTCTAATGGGACTCCCTCTCCATCTGTCTCTTACAGCTCAATATCAGTGGTTTGCAGATAGCAATCCAGAATGGCCACACATCCCTTGTCAACCTTCTTCTCAGTGAGAACGTGGATCTGCACCAGAAAGTGGAAGTGAGTCTATTCCATTGTTACGGGCTTTTGTCCTAGGACCACGAGGTTGGCTATACCGGGGAGATACTCCCTGAAGATACATGTAGGGGAGGAGATGTTACAAGGGAGGAATTCTTTCTGGGAAGACTGACTGACTTCTTTTGGAGGCTGAGTCTTAAGAAATAAAATCCAAGAGATGAATTTTAGGAAGTCATTGAAGTTTCTGAATAAAATGTAATCTTTGTGTTTTAAATGTTTGTATTTGCTGCAATAAATCTGTCTTGTATGTTTAGAGATTCCATTACTCTTGTATTACATTTATCAGTCTGGGAAAATGATGAAGCTGCTGTAAATATGAAGAAGAGTGATAATTTTCCCCCTTCACCGAACGATCCTGTTTTTATTTTGAAAGTCAGTCCTTTATACTAATGTAGGTTTTCAAAAGTTTCCGTTGGCTTAGGTAGGATTGAGAAAGGCCCTCTGTGCTGGAATTAGATGAGAAACATTCCTCTATTTTTCACTCTATTTTCATTTCTCCTGTGAGAATATTATTTCCTTTGATCTTGCTGAGCCATTACTATTTATTATATTAACTCAAGAGAAGGGATGTGATTTGACCCGTGTCTGATAGTTTTTGGAACATGGCATCCAGGGAATTGGCTCTGAACTTACCTGGTTCAGTCCAAGGACATTTCCTTTTTCTCAGGAGGAGCTGGGCCCCGGCAAGGTGGGTGGCCCAGCAAGGACACTGGCTGCCCACTTCTTTGAGATGAGGGGTGTTTTTTCTTTTTTCACGCTCAGTGCCTCAAAGGAGGTTATTCCTGAGCAGAAGAGACCTTTGCACAAACCCTTCCCCTCACACCACCACCCCCACAGCCCTTAGGTTCACCTCAGATAGTCCCTGCTGTCCTACCTGTGCCCTCCCTTCTGCTCCCTCTGCGTGCTGGCGATACTCTTGCCGACTCACTACATCTCTCTTCCATCCATCTAGCCCTGTCTCCTGAAAAGGAACCTGGGTTCCAGTCCTGTCCCTGCCACTTCCTTGCTCCGTGGCCTTGTGGAAGTTACTGATCCTCTCTGTGCCTCACGTATGAAGTGGGGAATATAAGATCAAACTCCTAGGGTTATTGTGAATGATATGGTTCCTGAAAAGCTGTTAACCCGGTGTTTAAGACAGAGTATAAACTGTTAGGGAGGTGAGTGTGGAGTAAGCACCGTGATGAGAAGGTGTTGAATGTACTTAACTGATGCGTGTCATTGATATCATCTGTTTCACTCAGTCTGATCACCCCTTGCACACACACCTGTGCTCCCTCTCCACTCATTCTGCTCTCAGCTCAACTCCTGTCCTGCCCACAGTCTCACTGGATCTTCAGTACCCTTCCCTCACACCTGTAACGCCTCCCCATCACTCCCCCTCTTCTCTGGACTGGCAACCTCACGCCTCTCTCCTGCCTTGATCACTTATGCTCGACCTTCCCCACCTCAGCTGCCTTCTCTACTCCCTCAAGCCAACAGCCCTAGTGGGACCCACCCACAGTGGGGATGTGTGTGAGGGGCCAGGGCTCCTAGTAGGGTTGTAGCAGAGAAGACAGGCAGTTTAGCCAAGAAACAGGACAGAGCAGGCTGCAAAGCCTTGGTGAACACATGGTGGCTGGACTCTGTGTAGGTGGGAGGACTGAGCACAAGACGGTGCCCTGAGTAATGGGGACATCAGTCCCATAAGACACTCTTCAGAGTGAGGGCTCCAGAGCAAATCAATTCAGGAAATGCTGAATGTGCAACTGTTTTCCCCTTGTGGCTACTCCCACTGTCCTTTAGCTCTTTGGAGGCTCTGAGAAGTCCTGCGGTTCAGCCTATTTAATACTTGCTTATCCTTCATATTTGAGCTCAAATGTCAGTGCTTCAGGAAAATCTTTTCTGACCTCCCAGAGGTCAGCTCTCCCCCCGCCCCTATGCACTCACAGCACTTTCTACTTTTCCTCCAAAGCACTTATCACAATTGTAATTGCATACTGTATTTGTGTGACTTTGGAAAAACTATTATTTGCTTACCTCACTAGATTGGAAGGTTCCTGAGAATGAGCTTTGCTCACCACTAAATCCCTGGCATTCTGAAAAGGGCTTGGCCCACAGCAGGTGCTCAGTATATAGCCCCAGAATGAAGGGGGAGAGCTGATTGCTGGTGAGCAGGTTTGCTTCTCAGACTTGGGGTGACAATGATCGCTGAACACTTAACTATGGGCCGCCACTGGGATGGGCAATTCCAGTACTTGGGAGATCATCAGTAAATATCTGCTGAAATGAGTTGCTTTTTGATTTGAATGATGAGCCAGAATCTTTTGGATTTAAATTTTTATTTCTCTCTGCAGCCTAAGGAGTCCCCGCTTCATGTAGCTGTTACCAACAACCATATCACAGTTGTAAACAGCTTATTAAGGGCACAGCATGATATCGACATCTTAAATCAGGTAAGCCAGGCAAATCAGAAGCTGGAGAGTCTACGTTTCAACGCAGTGTGTGTTTATGGGGAGTTTTGATCAAGTTCAAGCTACCCTAAAAATTCAGGGTGGGAGGAACATGGTCATTCTTTTTATCCTTTCCTTCTGTAACTCCCACCCACCCCCACCCCCACGCCCACACGCACCATTTGTTTTTTCTCAGAAGGCAACGGGGGTTCAGCCAGTGCATGATGAAATCCTTCACATCTAGCAGGCCCAGCACTTTGATGAACAGTAGCTCAGAGGTAAACTGCCAGAGGCTCTTTAATCAAAAGCCACTCCCCCAAAGTGAAATGTTGTAATTGGCAGGGAGCCCTTCCCCACAAGAAGGAAGCTTTGTTTCTGCATTGGAGACAGTAAGTGTGTCTTCCCTTAGCCTGAAGGCAAAAGAGACCTCTTGGGGAAAAAAAAAATCACTGCTGTAAGTTCAATCAACTGGAGCAGAATCAAATGCCTCATAAAAGCAATCCATCATTGGCTGGAGCTGGGAATGCAGAGGTAGAATAACAAAGAGGACGGGCATGGGCACTGCGTGAGCCGGGCCTGCTCTCTGGGGCTGAGCCGCCCTCTTCCAGGGGCCTCCGAGGGAAGAGGAGCCCTTTCAGGGTCCTGCCTGAGGCCAGTTGAGACTTTCCGGCTGCCTCTTCCCAAAAAAGCCTCGGTGGTGCCCCTCCAGGTTAGGGAGATGCCACGGTGCAGTGGGCGTGCCTGTCCTGACCCACCATGTGGCTCTCAGTTTCCTCATCTGTGAGACCAGAGCATTGACTCAGATCTCTGCAGTTTCCCCCAACTCTAAACTATGTGTTAATTTTTGCTCTGAGCCTAATAAAGATTATTTATATGCACTTCTGTTCCTTCCTCCCCCTGGGAACCTATCTTCCCCACCACCCACTTTTACTATCCCAAAAGTTTTTTTGAAAAGAAAAACCTCTTGTTATTGAATATACTTATGTATTCAACTATGGTAATGCCCCAAATCTTTTCTAATGAGCAAAATCTTTGCTAAATACACAGAGCCTTGTGCTCACATGTGAGTTTGGTTTCAACAGAATTGGCTAGATGTGCTCTAGGGTAGGAGTGTTCGTTAGGCTTGCCATCCATTTACAGAACTAGACTTTATCGTTTATTTTTTTAGTAGGCCAGGAATACACATATAAAATTTAAAAATTATATTTTAAACATAAAATATTTATATAAAATAAGAAAATATAAATAAGCTAAAAAACCTTAAATGTGTTTGTAGTCCTCACCAAAGAAACATAACTCTTATTAATGCTTTAGTGCATTTCCTGCCTTTTAGACTTGTAGCAGTGTTGCCAAATGGGTTTTGTTGGCATTTGATGCATTACAGTTGTGTCTCTGTTCCACATTGGTATAGACTGTTTTTTTAAGCCAGTCAAATTTAGCAGTGGTATAGAGTTTTGATAGGTTAGTGTAAGTGTGATGGGCTACACTGCCATCTAAAGAAAGGTCCTTGATAAATGATTTTTTGGCAGCAATCATGCTGACGCCCTAAGCAGGTTGGCCCTGTGCTCTGGTAGGAAGAGTCTTGGGCTACAGGCCATTGCCCACCTGTGGGATCCTGGGGAAGTTGCTTTCCCTCTCTGGTTTAGGGGTTGGGCTAGATCATATCTAAGGTTCCTTTCTGCCCTAATATTTTAGAAATGTCTTCATATCAGCATTCATTTTGGTGGGAGGTTAACATGGGTGATTTTCTTGTGATTTCACGTGTTTCTTTTGAAAGACTCCCATCCTCCTGATGGGAAAATGATTACTCCAGAAAGAAATGAGAAGTCTTGGACTCCTTTGTACATTATAATATAGAAAATAGAGAAAACAAGAAAGCAGGCTGGGCGCGGTGGCTCATGCCTATAATCATAGCACTCTGGGAGGCCGAAGCGGGAGGATCACTTGAGCTCAGGAGTTCGAGACCAGCCTGAACAAGAGCGAGACCCTGTCTCTACTAAAAATAGAAAAATTAGCTGGGCATCCTGGTGAGTGCCTGTAGTCCCAGCTACTCAGGAGGCTGAGGCAGGAGGATTCCTTGAGCCTAGGAGTTTGAGGTTGCAGTGAGCTACGATGATTCCATTATGCTCTGCCTAGGGTGACAGAGTGAGACTCTGTCTCAAAAAAAAAAAAAAAAAGAAAAGAAAAAAAAACAGGAAAGCATCAAGAAGGCAATAAAAATCAGCTCCAATTCCTCCATCTAGACATTACCGTTAACATTATTGATGTACTGTATTTCCTTCTTTCTTTATATGTCTTTTAAAATTAAATCAAGCTCAGCTAGATATAGTGTTGTTATTTCCTAAGGTTTTAATGGTTATATCATAAGCATTTTTTCATTTTAAAAAATAATCTTTGAAATAATTTTATTATAGTAAAATACACATAACAAAATCTACCATTTTAACTATTTTAAGTATACAGTTTAGTGTCATTAATTATATTCACATTGTTATATTCACATTACCACCATCCATCTCCAGACCTTTTCTCATCTTCCTAAACTGAAATTTCATATGCATTAACAGTAATTGCCCATTCTCCCCTCCCCCAGCCCATGGTAACTACCATCATTCTACTTTTTTTCTTTTTTTTTTTTTTTTTGTTGTTTTTTTTTTTTTTGAGACAGTCTTTCTCTGTCACCTAGGCTAGAGTGCAGTGGCATCATCATAGCTCACTGCAACCTCAAACTCCTGGTCTCAAGTGATCCTCCTGCTTCAGCCTCCCAAAGTGCTGGGATTATGGGCATGAATTTGATTGGGTATCTCCTTTTTAAAGATCATTTTTTAAAAATTATTTTTAATGGTTGCCTACTATTCTAATATATAAATATACCAAAATTTATCGAATAAATCTTTTTGTTAAACACGAAACTTCCTTTCAGTTATAAATAATGCTGAAACATATGTCCCCATATCTGCTTAAATGTATACAATCTTATCCCTTCTCCTTAAGCCTATATGCAGCACCTCTACTTTCCCTTTGTCTTTTTGCTGCTCAAGCTTTTTTCCCTCCTTATTGTGCTTCAAATTACATTTTTTAAATTTCTCATGGCAGAGACAGCAAACCCCTCTGCATATAGCTGCTGATCTTGGAAATGTGGAGCTGGTGGAAACCCTGCTGAAGGCAGGCTGTGACTTGAAGGTTGTTGATAAGGTAATCACATGGACTTCACTTTGTTCAGCTGAGGTGGTTGCTAAGCCCTCCCTGTTGGCCCTTAGCCCTGAGCGGCAGCATCAGCGTACTCTGTGCAAAATGGCACGGGCTCGAGAAACCTTGCCTCTTCAGTCAGTAAAGCATCCCAATTTTGATTGACATATGTCAGTAAGCATTTTTACTCTAACAAAATATGTTTTCAGAATTCAAATTATTTGTTAAAATTTTGAAAAGATTATAGATTAACATGGTCCAAAAATAAAAACATAACTAGTAAGGGTTTTACAGTAAAAATTTTCCACCCACTGTTCTTACTGGCCTGACACTGGCTATATGTATCCATTATTATAAATTTCTTCTATTCCTTCCAGAGTTTCTTTATGCATATATAAGAAACATAAATATATTCTTGTTCCATTCCTCTGCTCTTTGTAGACATTGCTGGCATACCTACATACAGTATACTGTTCTGCATTTAGTGTTTTTCCCCTTAACATTAAAGTGGAGCTCTTTCCATATTAGTACATGGAGAGGTTCTTCATTCTTTTTTTTGTAGCTGCATGGTAGACCATGATATGGACATACCATAATTTGTTCAACGAGTCTTAAACTGACGGGCATTTAAGTTGTTCCTAAGCTTTTGCTATTATAAACAGAGCTGCAATGAATAAACTTACATGTGTCTAAACTTGTTTTTTTTTTAATTAAAGAAATTGTAATTGTGGTAAAATACACATAAAATTTACCGTCTTAACCATTTTTAAGTATATAGTTCACTAGTGTTAAGTATATGTACATTGTTATGCAATCAATCTCCAAAACTTTTTAATCTCGCGAAAGTGAAACTTTATACTCGTTAAATAACTCCCCATTTCTCCCTTCCCCCAGTCCCTGGCAACTACCATTCTGCTTTCTTCTGTGTCTATGAATTTGACTACCCTAAGTACCTCATGTAAGTGGAATCATACAGTATTTGCCTTTTTGTGAGTGGCTTATTTTACTTAGCATAATGTCTTCAAGATTCATCCATCCTGTAGCATGTGTCAGAATTTTATTCCTTTTTAAGGCTGAATAACATTCCATTGTATGTATGTACCAAATTTTGTTTATTTATTCATCTGTCCATGGACATTTGGGTTGCTTCTACCTTTTGGTTATTGTAAACTTGTTTTTATTTTATTCTTACTTTATTTATTTAGTTAGTTAGAGACAGAGTCTCACTCTTGCCCGGGCAAGTGCCGTGACATCAGCCTAGCTCACAGCAACCTCAAACTCCTGGGCTCGAGCGATCCTCCTGCCTCTGCCTCCCAAGTAGCTGGGACTATAGGTGCGTACCACCATGCCCAGCTAATTTTTTCTATTTTTAGTAGAGATGGGGGTCTCACTCTTGCTCAGGCTGGTCTCCAACTCCTGAGCTCAAGCAATCCTCCCGCCTCGGCCTGCCAGAGTGCTAGGATTACAGGCGTGAGCCACTGCGCCCAGCCTGTAAACTTGTTTTCAAAGAAAGACAATTTTGTGTCTTTCAAGTGGTACAATAATGCAGGCTGAGCCATTGGAGGGCTGTCAGAGAGCCACGCTAGGTTCCAGCCCCACTGAAAGGTATGGGAGAAGGCTCTTGGGGGACAGCCGTGTCAGGTGCTCACACACACACCATCTTACTTCAATCCTCACATCTCCTCTGTGAGGTGGACAGAATTACCCATTTTGAAGAGAAGATTGGAGAGATTTTGATGAAACTAGATCACACACATAGTAAGAGGCAGAGCCAGCTTTGAACCCAAGTAGTGACTTCTCTGTCATCCAGTGCTTTCCTACAACCGTTGGCAAAGAGAACTGCCTCCAAAACGTGTAGTTTCCCCCTCCTTGTCTTTACCCACACAGCTCCCTAGCCAGCACCTCCCTGATTCACACTGCAAGCCCAAGTCCACCCTATTCTAGTTCGGAATCACACATTCTGCATGTGTAGGATCTGAAGTCGTGATAGGTTATTTTATTTTTCTCTGTGTGTCACTTTCTAAAATTAACTCTCTCTTTTTTTTTTTTTCCTGATCCAAAGAGTAATACGAGCCCACTGTGGACAATTTGGAAAACACAGAAAAGCATAAGGAAGGAAAACACAACCACCCACAATTCCATCACGGGTGGAATTCCGACACTTTCACCAGTTGTGCCTAGTTAACTTCGTTAACATTTAGCGTTAGTATTTTCCCTATGCTTTCTTTTTGTAATTTATTCTACTTTTTCATTAATACTTAACATCTCCAAGGCAATTTTGTGGGTAGAGAATCTATAGCGTTGGGCAGGCTTTTATGTTGGGGTCCCTGGTACTTGAGGACTGCATGTTCTAGTAAACATAGTCAATGCTACTGCTTGACTTTGTTTTCAAAACAAAAGCTCACAGTTTACTAGGCCTCACAATTTTATTTTCCCAGAATTCCCTCTTCCTCCTCCTCCTCTTTTCAGGATCTAGCACATAGCTGGCACCCAATACATATTTAATTAATGAATAAAAACTATCTTTTTTGCCTCCTTCTACAATTTTTACCAAATGTAAGTGTTTCTAAGACCTCATTAGGGTCTGGATAGGAAGAAAGGAGCTAAGGTTTGGTGTAAATTTGGCTTTCCCAGAAGCCTTTCCTCTCAGCCTGAGGCATCACAGAGCTCACAGAGGACTTTCTGTCCCCGATACCCCAGGCTCCTCACCCCTCCACAGGCAGAAGTATTTGGACTTCACCCTAGCATAGGGAGATCTAGCAATCTCCCTAGGAAGAGTTTCTCATGAGCTTGAAAACTCTGGCTCTCAGAATACTGCCTTCCCAAAACAGGCTAATTATGGTGATTCAAATGGCTTTACATGCCAGAATTTAGACAGCATACAATTAGAGGCTTGCTAAATGCCTGCAAAATGCAGTTCTTCCTAATTTCATTACTGTCTCTTTTGATTAGAGGCTGATTACTTTCAGCCCTAATTTTCCAGCTCACCTGGGTATTAGCGCCTAGACTAACAACAGAATCATTTGTGTTGGTGGGAATTGCGCTTGTTGTAAAGACCTAGCAATGTAAGAGAATTCTTGGGATACATTTCTGGATCCATAAGGGTAGAAACACAGGTTCCTAAGATTGGAACTTCTTCTAGGGTTATTTCTGACCATTAATTTTAATTATCTGTAGAACAAATTCTGCTTGGATCATTTGAAAAGCAAATGAGAACCACCATCCTTTGCTCAGGGAAAAATGTTTAGACATAGAAATTGTGCAGTGCATGAAGTCTAGGGGACTCTGCTTGCAAAGCTGTGTGCCTGGCTTTGTGCTCTATCCATCTTGAGAAAAGTAAACCTTCTTGTAATCTATATAAGATACCATGTGGGCTCCAGGCAGCTTATTCCCAAAATTATGTCCAGAACAGCCTTTGTTGCTCATCCCATTTGGTTAGGATTTGAGCCCCTCACCCTTGGTTAGAGGCAATACGGTATAATATTAATAGAACAAAATTCTCAGTAGGTGTCCAGTGATCTGAATTCTGTGCTATGAATTACTAGTGTTGTCATTATTGATACTATTTTTAATAAGATCCAGCCCTCTTCTGTCTTATTACTCTACCTTCCTCAAAACATGTCTTCCGCTTCCTGGTCTGAAGTGGCTGTTCAAGCTCTTGCCATCATATCAGCATTCCACTTAGGAGGAGGAGGGATGGATGGAGAATGCCATCCACCCTTCTCTTTAAAGATAGTTCCTGGAAGTTGCATGCGCCCTTCCATTTACATGCCATTGGCCAGAACTTAGGTCATGTACCTAACTGCAAGGGAGGCTAGGAAACGTTCATATGGCACGTGTTCTAAGGGCCTTACATGCATTATCATTTACCCCTCACCGCTACTCCATGGGGCAGTTATTAAGACCCAAAGAAGCTAGGACTGGCCCAAGTTTACCCAGCAAAGGAGGTGGGAGAGGTGAAGAGGGGTAGGACCAGGATTTGAACCCAGGGCCCCTTGTTCTAAAGCTAGAGCTCCTAACTACTAAGTCATACCACCTGATACTTTCTTTAACTTTTAGCAAGGAAAGACTGCCCTGGAAGTGGCCTCCAGGAGCAACCATAGCCTTGTGGTGGACATGCTCATTAAAGCAGAGAGATACTATGCCTGGAGAGAGGTAAGGAAGGAAGATCCCAGCATGGCGAGGGGCTCTTCTGGAAACCCCCATCTTCTTATGGGGCAATGTGGGGTCTGTGTAATTCTTTTTTCCTGCTCTAATGGGCTGAGCCCTGGTAAGTACAATTATAACTGTTCCTTCTGTCCTGCCCTGTCCCCATTAATGAATGAGCAGCTGCCTCTTCCTTTTCCGGCATTAGACGTCAGAGCTGAGTGAGAGTGCGTAGAGTTCCGCTGGGCTGAGCAGCCTCATCTGTAGGCTCTAACAGGCCTGGCGTGCAAGCCCCTGAAGGTTGACGCCCTGGCTGTGCCCTCTGTCTACAATCTGGCTATGGGCTATTCCCAGAAGCTCTAATGAGTGGTAAAAATATTTCCTTTTTACGTCTCTGTGGTTTCAACACTGGCTCTTTGGCACTCAAGCATTCTGTGACAGTCATGAAAACCTTATTCATCTCAGAAGACAAAAAGTCTTGTCTCTAAGTCATCATTTTTGCTGTTCTTTCATTTTTATTTCTTCTGATATCTGTCACTCATGCAGCTTCTCAATAGACTGCCCTCCCCTCCAAGATTCACGTCTATGCCCTCAGGCAAGAATGTCCAGACACCACCCTCAACTTACAGTGATGTGTTGTTTCCATCGCAGACTGCATTGGCTACTTGTGGTTCAGTGTGTGAGCTCCAGAATTCAGGTCCTCATCATTCAGGTGTCTACCCCTAGGAGCTGCGAACCGGGACTGCTGTCCACTTGGCCAATCCTGGGAAATTTCCCTTAAATCTTTAAAGCAAAAAGCGTTTATTCATGTCCTTCTCTCTCACAATCCTGTGTAATTGGCTCAGTAGTCTTGATATATATGGATCCTTTTAAAGGTCACACCATCTTCCTTGCAACTTTTCTTGCCTATAAAACAAACAAAAAAAATTATAAAAAAAACCTATTTTGCCTGTAAAACAAAACTTTTTCAAAATGATTCAAATTCCCTGTTTCATCTCCTCCCTTCCTCTTATTTCTATAGTTCCTCTTTCTCCTCCCTTTTCCTCTTCCTCTTTTCCTGTCTTCATGCTCATTTTCTTAAATCATCACTGTATTTTACTAAAGACAACTTTACCATGTTCCACCTTTTCTATTTCTATTTAAATTCTTGTTTTCACATTTTCTTTGGAAATAATATATTCATTCGTTCTATTTTTAATGCCTGGTAGCATTTTTTAGATTCTTTTTTTTTTTCCTCTTTATTCTTACTGGGGAAAGATGATGCTGAATTTTTTAGATCCTTTTGGCTAGATGAGAATAAATTGCTTTTCTACCAAATGAATAAGCCCTCTTTCCTAACAAATCTTTAAGATGTAAGAGTTAGTTAAACATCGAAAACCATATATCATGCGTAAATATAGCTGAGGGAGACCCCCAGAAATGGTCAGCATTGTTCACCCTGGTGATGACTGATATCCTGAGGTCTGGGGTGGAAGGCAGACTTGTTTTTTAATATATATCGTTAATTTTTTTTTTTTTTTTACCAAATGCATTTATTATTATTTCAAATCCTCTTAGTTCATTAAACAAGTTTATATCCTGGCCTGATATAATATGGTTCCTGATGGAAAGATTAAAGGGATGATTTAGATTTCCTTTCTTATATCCATTTATCTATTAACCTAAACACCCAGTCATGTGTCATTAAATTCAGTGGTTCAGAGGCAAATGAGAACTTCCTAAAAATTTGGCTTATGTTATTCTAATTTCCACCAATTCTGGCTCGTGTTATTCCTGCAAATAGTGCAGTACTTTGGCAGATAAGCTATTTAGTGTTTTCACTGACTATTGGGAAAGACCTGGGCTTTCCAAATCCCCTCCCCTTTCCTATGGAAACCTGAAGGACCACCCAGCCAATCCTGAAATACACGAAGCATGCACATCTCTTTGAAAAATAAAAATGCTACAGCATAAAGATGAATGCAGGAGCATTTTGTATTCTTCCCTTTACCTTCTGGTGTTTGGGATATTGATTTTGTCGGGATCGTCATTGTTTCAGGAGATGGAATGAGGAGAAAAGGACAAAGTGAAGTGCCCATGGTTCCCAAGTTTGTTGGCTCTCCCTACCCTCAGCCTTCCCTCTTGTGGGATTCCTGGGAGCGACGTGTAGTAGAAGTAGAGCTGAGGCCAGGTGGGAGCAGACCTTGCCTTTTACAGTTTCTAGAACAATTGTGAGGAGTTCACGCCTCCCATTCCTATTCCAATGTCTGTACACAAAGCCCCAGATACTAGAGAAAGGTCTTGCCCTTCTCCTTGGCCAAGCTTCCCAGGAAGAGCTTGGAGAGCTTCCCCTGTGGAGCTTCCTGCAGGAGGCTGCTGCTGCTGTGAAGGGTGCAGGCTGACCCGTGCTGGGGGCTGAGGAGCAAACCCCACCACTCTTCACACAGGTTTTGAAAACCAGGGCCCTATATCCTTTCGATCCATTCCTGCCCCAGCATCGGCTTCCATCTTGTTCAGAATGTCTTTTGTTAAAATTCCCTTTTATTTAGGTGAAAGACAAAAACAGAAGTCACTATACACAAAAAAGGAGAGGAGAGTACATAGGAATCCTAAACCTCTTGGTGGGCTGCGTGTCCTGCATGTCCTTAACTGATTTGCAACCTTCTGCAGGAGAACTCTCTGGAGCCCTGAAGCGTAAGCATGACATGCATTTCTGGGAAGTCAGGTCACCTGCTTTCACTTGGAGATTTTCTTCAGTTTTTTTGGTTTGATTCCGCAGAAGGGACAAAAGGAAACTTTGAAAAACCAGAAAACAATACATCAATCTAGGTGTAATGCTGAGGGGCTGAGCCTGGCTGTAGTGACTTAAAACAAATTGGTATCTGATCCTGTCCTCTCCACTCCCTTGGCTACCTCTTCCCCAACCCCATCCTGGGTTAGGCTCCTACTTTGCTCTCTTCCCCCTCACCAGAGAGCAGAAGGAATTGAGGGACAAGCTATGGGGTCTTATTAAGAATATACCCAATCTTCAGAGTGTATATTCAGGGCAACTTGAATTTATGCTCCTGGGTTGCCATCCTCAACCTTGGCCCAAATAAACTCTCTATTTGTATTAAAAGAAAAAGAAAAAGTATATACCCAATCTGAGACCCACCAAAGCTTTGATATGAGAAAATCTAATACCCCAAAAAAGAAAGAGAGATATGGGTTCAAAGGAAGGCCATTAAAGACGTGTTTGTTGTGACCTTTCCTTCCCCAAGACAGCACCTCTGTTTTCTTGTAGGGTGGGCAAATGTCAGGCAGCAGCATGGGACAGCACATTGCAAAATCTCTCACATTTCCTGAGTCAGACAGACAGTACTCCAGCTTTTTATTTCAGACATTTGCCTCCATCTTGGATGAAAAAAACGACCCAGTGACACATAACATTGAATACATAGTCTCGGTTATCACCTTACCAATTATATCTAAAAAATATACACACTCTGAAATAAGGCAATAGTGGAACATGTCTGAAACCATCTAGATGATTATTTTCAACTTAGGAGCATCGTGAGGGCGTCAGGGACCCATCAACAGGCTTTACTCTGACGTTCAAACAAGATCACAGTCTGGAGACCAGGCACATCCGCACGCTCCTCTGGAACCTGGCTTACCATCAGCTGAAGGCCAACCAGTGGCGGAGGCTGGCCCGTTCGTGGAACTTCACAGATAACCAGATCAGAGCCATCGAGGAGCAGTGGTCAGGTGAGCACAGCTAGGTGATGTGGGCCGGTGGCATTCGGTGTTAGGAACAACAGTCCTTCCTGGTGTGAGATCTTCTAAGTAAGTGCCTGCTGCTCATATAAGCCGCAGACTCCGGGGTCCCAGGAATGGGGACAGCTACCTTAAGGCACACAGGTGCTTGGGAACTTTGTAGAAAGCTAACGCTCATGGGAATCTGCAGTAAATTGAAGTTTGCAAAGAATGATTACTTTTCTTGAGCCATATCGAAAAGGTGGGATTTAGCCTAGAAAGAAATTGAAGTTCCCAGCTGAATGGTCACCAAGGAACAAGGATTTAGCAGTTTGACATGGCACTGGGAAGCCAATCTGGTTTCTGGTATTCCTTGAGGTTGTCCTGGGTATATGGGTTTGTTCCATAGTCAAAAGTCTTACTGTTTAGGGTTTCCATCCAGGAAGAGGGAATTCCTTAAACCACGTGCGTAGGGGAAGTGGTTCTTGTAGGACAATGGCCTTGGGGCAGACTGGCTGTCCCATGAGAGACGTGGGGGGTACAGACTCAGAGGCTGTCTTGGCTGGATGATTCCAAGCAATGGGATCGTTTCAGCCAGACTCAAGCTGCCAGAATTAGTGAGGTTAACACAGCAGGATTCCTTTGCTTGGCTTTTTATGGTTTGACCAAAACCTAGGAAATATAGGAAGTTTGCTTGGCATTAATCAACTCATTAGCTTTATAAACAAAGAAACAAATGCTTTTCTTGGCAAAGTTTTCTGTTCAGAGCACTTCCCTCACATGGATATCATGAGGTGGGAAGGTGCCCCATGCTCAGGGGCTGATTTGCGTTAATGATTGCTGGGAACCGTAGATGGCAGAACCACGGCCCCAGCGGCACAGACAAGTAAATTATGGAACTTTTTATTGCTAATCCTAAGGATACACGTTCATGTGAAAAAATGGAAGATAATGTATTGAAAACATTGAATATTGACTCGTTACTGAAAAGATTTCTTTTTTGTTAAGATTTCTCCTTTATCGCTAATTAGGCATGTAGTGTTCTGTAAAGTCTTTTAGCCTTCTGGAAATCTCTTTTGACCTTCTCTGTTTTAAAAACAAAGAAATGTCTCCAAAATACACTGTACCTTCAAGAGTACTTGCCAGCAGGATATGGCTGTTTTAAAAAGTGTTTTTAAAAACACTTTGAAAGTGTTTCAGTGGAGCCTTGTGGAGTGCCTGGCGCATGTTTATATCTGTCGGATGAGGGGTATCAGCTCTCTCAGCCATGCATGTTTGATGGAGTTTATAATCTAGTTGGCACGATAACAATAGCATTCACGATTCACTTATGATCCAGGGGAAGGCTACCACCAGTGCCAGGGAGCTTGTGGGCTTTTGAGCGAAGGAGTGACATGCTGATGATGGTATTTAAGAAAAAATAGTTTGTCAAGAGCAAGAGGGACAGCAGATTTGCCCAGGAGTGTATTCTTCATGCATGCAGGCCCTCTCCCTAAAATGCCTGCCCTCTTGAACAGTCCGTCCAGTGAACTTTCTCCCCAGAGCTCAGGCCCTCCCTTTCACGGCATCTGTCTGCTCCTGCACACCCTCTCACAGAGCAAGGAGCCTGTCCTGTGTTTGTGGCTGTGAACTCCTGTTGGGAGTGACAGTGGCTTCCCAGCTCCCTGTCCCAGCACCTCCCCCATCACCTCTCCGGGTTAGGTGTCCAGTGAGTATTTATCGAATGAATAAGCCTGACCCAGGGGATGCAGACTTCTAGGATGCAGACTTCTATCAGAGCAGTTTTCTTGAAGCTGGAGTAGCAGGGTGGTGCGTGCTTGCTGCCCCAAGTGTGGTTCCTGGACCAGCAGCAGCAGCACCCAGAAGCCTGTTGGACGTGCAGATTCTCACCCCCGGCCCAGTGAATCAGAATCTGCATTTTAATAAGAAACCCAGGTAAAATATGCACTGTGAATTTGAGAAGTGCTGGTCTAAGGTAGTGCTGCCCGAACACTGAAGAAAAGCTCCACATCTCATTAAGGTTGTCCGTTACTGCCAGGCAGGTACCACAGCCGTCCCGTCTCTCGTATACGTACTTCTCTGGGTGTGTGCCAACCACGGTAGGTGCATGGCAAGGGCGGGAGTGAATCCGAATGCCGGTTAGCCGGGAGGGCCTGCTTTAGCAGAAGAGGAATGGACGTGCGGCCACAGCCATACAGAAAGTCTGGTTAGAATTGAGATCTAACCAATGTGGTATTTTACCTTGGACCTCTTGCGCTTGGCACAGGAGATGAAAGCTTCCGTGAACATGGCCACAGGGCTCTGCTCATCTGGCTGCACGGGGCCCTGATGACTCAGGCTGATCCGGTCAAGCACCTGTATGAAGAGCTGGTACGTGCAGGTTTCCCAGAACTAGCTGGTGAGTGACAGTTTTTACAAACAGAAACCCCTTCTCCTTGAAGGTGGTAGAGAACAGTGAACAGAAACACCTCTCTGAACAGCAACAGGCCTGTCTCGGCGTTAGCTGTGGCTCATACAGACATGGGGCTACGGAAGGGGCTTGTATGCTGTCAGCACCTTCCCCTTTGACGAGTCACCCAACCAATACTGGTCATGTTTTAGCTCTGAGTTCTGTGTCACCCCCTGCCTGGGCATTTGAAAAAGTGTGGGAATGTTTCTGTTTATGTGTAGGTGGTAGGTAGGGTGGGGCAGAAATGCTAAACCCTCTCATACGGTTATAGGATTCTTCTCCACAACTAAAGACTTGTTTTGCTCAAAATGCCATTTTGCCCCTGTTGGGAAACTGCAAGTTAATGTATTTTAAAATGTTACCCCTAGGTTGAGGGAACAGGGCAGACAGGCTATTACTTTGCCAGCTAAGGTTATTGCTAAAAATCACTCTGCCAAAATCACTGACCATATTGTCAGGGAAGATACCGATAAATTAGGTAGTGTTAGGACTCTTCATGTAATAACAGATATCCAAGCAAGATAGGAGGACATCTGCCATATTTTCACTGAAGCAGTTTTATATGGAGCTGAAAACATAAGTGAGTGAATCAGACCACTGATCTAATAGTTTCAGGCAGTGGTAAGTACAAGGAATAGTGCATGGATGATACCTACATTCTATGACATTATCCTAACATTGGAATTTTCCCCTCAACTTTAAATGTATTCTTTCCTGTAAAAAAGCTTCCATGAGAACTCTCAGGGAAGACTAAGATGCAGCCCACTGCAGTGGTGAAGCTAGACTGTGTGGGCTCATCCCTGAACTCCAACAGACCGGTTGTATGATCTTGAGCAAGTTCTGTGGCCTCACTGTACCACTGTTCTCATTTATTAACTAGAGAAGGAAATAAAAATGTCTACTTCCAAGGGCTGTTGTGGGATTGAACGAGTAATAGTGCCTGGCACATAGTAAGTGCTTAAAGAATGTTAGCTATTAATAATAAATGCTATCCTATTTTTTCCAGAAAAGAGTCGTCAATTCAAAAGCAAAACTGACTCAAGCTCCAAGAAATGTGCAGTTTCATAAATGCCTAAGGAAATTGTATTTAAATAATTTTCCACTCAGCATTAAGTTCTTTTGATGCCATAAATTTCTTCTAGCAGCATTGATTTTCCTTTCAACTATGAAGATGATGGTGACAGGATCCTCTAACAGATGAAAAAAGACTAACACTAGTATACTTTTCAACCACAGGAAAGTCAAATATTCTTTTTAGTTTTTGCTTAAAGCAAGTTGTATGTGATTTTCCCATTTCTGTCACTTGATGCAATACATGTAATAGCATAATCTGAGGGTTCTGTATGTCATGTTTAAAAAAACCTGAAGGTGGAGCAGCATCATAGTATATGGAAAAACCAAGGGTTTTATGATAGATAAGGTTTTGAAATTGGTTTTACTGCTTATTAGCTGTGAGCCTTTGGCATGGTAATATTAAGTTCTTAGATCTTCAGTTTCCTTCTCTATAAAATGGGGGAAATGTCTACCTAGTCCATAGGGTTGGGGTGGAGATGAAGGGAGAATGCCCATGAAATGCCTAACCTCGTGCCACAGTATGGAAATTATGAATCATTATTTCTCTTTCAGTAAGAGAAACTGGGTTTAGAAATTTATAGTCACTTTGGGCTTTAAATCATATCTACATGTAATATATTATTTAGAAAAGACCAGAAGTACATACACCAATGTTTTTTTAATCTCTTGGTGATGTAATTGCAGGTGACTTTTATTTTCTTTGTACTTTTTGGTATATTCCAATTTTTTCACAGTGAATACACAATTTTTTTGTAATCTGAGGAAGTTACGAAGTAAATGTGAAATCAAGTATCAATTTGTGTCAGTTTATTGTGTACCTATTCATCTAAGACTCTCCATTCTCAAATTCTGACTTTAAATCTTCAAAGCACATAACAAAATCATAAGCAATTTCAGCCCAGTTATTCTATCATGAATTTATAGTTTTAAATCTTTGTCTCATACTGATTGTAAATGGCTCACTTAATATTATGAATGTTTACAACAGGTAATATATTTACATAATTCCAAAACATTTTTTAAGAAGTTATTTAGTGAAAACTCTTGTCCCCATCTGTTCAATATGGCCGGTTTCCACTGATCTTGTGCTTCCCACCCCCCAGAATCTGGGTAACCTCTTTATGCAAAAACAAACATGAACATTTACTGTATGAAGTGTTTTAATTGTTGAATTTACATTACCTTAGGCCAACACTAAAAGATGTTTATAAATGTCCTTTTTTTTAACACCTGTTATTTGTAAGATTTTTTTGGGGGGACAAAGTTTTGCTACACTGCCTGGGTTTGAACTTCTGGGCTCAAGCAAACCTCCCTCTTCGGCCTCCTGAGTAGCTAGGACTGTTTATAACATTCTTATTTACAACATTCACAGCATTCACTTTGGTTTTTCCATATGGTTTTGGCTTAGATACCAAAACCATTCCTAGTAGTAGCCAGGATTCCTCAAAAAGTAGAGCTGAAGGTCAACGTTTATGTGTAAGAATTTTTTCAGGAGTGTAAATCCAAGGAAGCAGGAGTGGAGGAAAAGGAGAGTGAAACAGGGAAGGAGGGAGAACCAAGATGAAGTGAATTACCAAATTGGCTTGGTACGAGCATAACTAATTATTTGATCTGGGGGGTGCTCTCTTACGAGAAACATGATAGACTAATGCATCTCAGGACAATTCATACAAGGGAGAAAGGAGGAAGAACTGGATCTGTTTACAACAATGGGGTGTTAGTGCTGGGGTTGCGTGAGTCACCTCTAAGTGGAGCCTGCGGTCTCTCATGACTCAACTGGGAGTGAGCCGGGAAGCCCCGGGAAGGAGCATGCACACAGAAAGGGTGTGAGGTGAGCTGTGGCTGGGTTGTGCTCATGAAAACCTTGTTGAAGCCCATGCAGCGTAGAGCTGTTTGCTGTAATGGTAGCTGGGCCAGAACCCAGAACAGTGTTGCTTATGTATCTAATATTCTAAGAAATAGCCTCATACTTCCATAATTCAGAAAGGCCTTAGAGTATCCTGTTAGAAAATGGGATATTTGCCTAGATCACATTTATTCTCTGATGTCCTATTAATAATATGAGGTAGCAAGAAAAACTATTTCCTGTAATAAAATTAGAGAATAGAACTAGATCACGTTCAAATTGGAATAGGCTTCAGATTAAGTCTATCTATTTCTGTTAAAGATATGGAAATTGAGGTGCTAGACAGATTCCTCAGAGACTATTCATTTTTATGTACCCCATAAATACTTTGTGATATAGGTAGGGTTGGTAGATTTTATTCTTATTTCACAGATGAGGATCCTGAGATTCATTTAAATTAAGCATCTGGCCCAAGATAACAGTCAGCGATAAAACCATTAGAAGCAAAGTCTTATTCTCCTAAATCAGTTCTGCCCAGATGATTTCTTCTTATTGGCCAGCCATTGAAAAATTTCTGCCCAGGCCTAGATGGTTTGCTGAGTTGTGCAGGGCTACACTGTCACAGGACAATGTTTGGATGGTTCAGAGAGGACAATGTGAGTTCAATGCTATAGTTTCAAATAAGGAGAGAAAGAACATCAGAAATAGGATTACGGTAACAGGAAATTTGTTTTTGATGTTTCTGTAACTCTGTGCTAGTATTAAAATTTTTTCACTTTTAGCATTAAAAAGTGATTCATGGGTATTGCCATTTCCATCTATATTCAACTGTTAGAGTCCTGGAAAACTGAAGACTAATACACTGAAGCCACACAAAAAAAACTTTGTGATAAAAACATCATTATTACTCTTGGTCCTTAATTTTTTAATTTAAAAATAAAAATATCTCAGTTTCTACTAGTTCTAAAGGTTCCTCTCAAAGTTCTGTGTAAATTACAATTCTGTAACATTGGAAATGATTTAGTCTTTTAGAAAGAATGTAGTGAAAAAAAGGCATATACTTTGATGATATTATTAATGACAGGCTAAACGTATTAAATAAAGTCCAGTTTCTTTTTAATTTAAAAAAGTTTTAATTAATTACTTAAATAAAAAAACATTAAAATAATTTCTACATACAGTTACAAAAGATGGTAGAGCTTGAAAAAGTCTCTTGTAATTTTGAACAGATTAACTTGATGTATCCATAATGTTCTAAGAATATGGAAATGTTAAAAACTAAAGACTTCTAACTCTTGGTAAAACAGGAGGAATTAGAAGACCTCAGCATGAACACATTCACTTTAGTCAACCACTTTTATGGAATGAACGCTTGTGAGAGACTGAGTGTGAGTTGATCTGGTTCCAAGTGACCTGGAAGCTGAGGTACTACTTTCAGGATGAATGGTCCGGGGATATTTTGCCGCAGTTGCTTGAGGAATGGTTTGCTGAAAAGATAAAAATCTGTTTTAATAATCCTATAAAATTATATATATTAAGTATCGTATTTTACCTGGTTCACCTGGGAGCCAACTATGAGCTCAAGGGGAACATCTTGGACATGAGCATTGAAGTTAGGGCACATGTGACTAAGTCCACACATATAATTGTGTACATACTATGAACACAAGTACACATTACATGTATGTATATGAATAACATGTATAAGTACAGGCTTTCCTCTATTATACCCAATAAAGCTTCTTAGTAGGCACCAGTGGGATTTGTTATCAAGGTAAGTTTTCAGTCCATGTCACTGACTAGTGCATGTAGATTTCTATTAGGGTCTTCCACTTAGAAAACTCATCTTACAAGTACCTGAAATAAAATTATATATAATTGGTCAAAACACTATGTATTTCAAAATCTCTAAGATATAGTTTTTGCTTAAAAAAATGAAACTTTTTAAAAACAAAAGGCCTTCATGCCAGATTCTGCTTTAAACAGAACTCCTTTTTAAAGAAATTGAAAAATAATCTTTCTTGAAGTGTCTTACATAAATGTTTCTTTGTATACAAATAACTGGATAACCAGTACAAATGGGAGATACTCTTGCAACTGGTATGAAATTTTGTTGCCAATCACCCAACCTGACTGAACCAAAAGAGTTATTTCTCCTTGGGAAGGACAGGCAAGAGAAACTGTAGAAATAAAGCTGCCACTGGTATCGTGATATATAAAATATGGCAGAGAATGGAGTGGCACTAGGAGCAAGCAGTTATCCAGCAGATGGGGCTAAGGTGTCACAAATCTGATCCTTGGTTTATTAGTAATAACCATTTCTGGTAGTTCTAGATCTTGATTCCTAGAATAAAACAAAACACAGTACAGAATACTGCCATTGTGTCTGCTGCATAATCCAAATTAGGTAATACTAAGTAGTTTACAGCGACCTAGTTCACTTCTAGTTACTGGGGAAGTACTGCGCTCTCTGAATAAGTGGAGGGCAGTCTGGGAGATAAATATCAGAAACAAACGTTAAATTTTTAGTTGATTTTTCTTCCGTAAAATATGAATTCCTATCGTTATTATAAAAACAATAGTTTATCTAAATTAAACACATGCTCTCCTTATGCCTTCTTTACATCACAAATGGACAGTCTCTCTGCTTAATCAGCACATAAAGCAGATTCTCTGTGCTGATAAAAGTAGAAATGGGTTCATTTCTTCTCATTTTTGAAAACTAATCTTCCATATTCAAAAACATACAGAAGTCATCTATGGACTTTCAGAAACTGCCCAGTTTATGAAACCCAAGATAATCCTTAAATAAATCCTCCACCATCTCCAGTTTTCCACTTCACTAAGGTCATACTTCACCTGAAGTTCAATTTAAATCAATCCTACTTCTCTTGATTTAATCATCTAGTAACCATCTAATACAGGAGGGAAAAAATAGGATTTAAAATCACTCCTTTATTGTTAATACTTTGACATAGTATGTAGACAGGAAGGTTGTCTAATGTTGAGGATTCACATAGAGGGCATTCTCTTTGAAAATCAATCCTTGTTTCTCTTTAGGGATATGTTCTTCTAACTCTTTAAATTATACTTTTTGTAATAATTGTTGATTCACATACTGTTGTAAAAAACAACAGCAGAGATATCCCATGTATTCTTTTCTAGTAACTTTTAGTAAGTTACACTTGCTCATGGTCTTACAGAGTGCCTTTGTACAGCTCTTTTAATTTTCACATTATCTCATTTAATCCTGAATCCTGACAATAACCCTAGAAGCTAACTAGCTACGAGCTAGTACTCTTATCAATCTCATTTTACAGAAGAGAAAATAGAGGTTTAAATATTTTACTTGAGTTGTACATATCACAAAGGCAGTAAGTAGCAAAGTTGAGGCACTAACTTGGGTTTTTACATTTTTGCTTTAAACTCAATGCACCTTCCTTTATATCACATGAATTAACTGCAACTTTAATTATTTTTAATCTAAAAATATACTGAAAATTATGTTGAAAAAGGGGGAAGAAGACCTTTAAAAAATAAGACCCCAAATTAATAACTATAGAAGCAGGGAAATTTTCTTTTAATCAAATATCGGCTACATGGTTAATGAGTAAATAGTTTTTGTCTCTTTTTAAATTAATGAGAAATCATTCATATATTTTATTATTTTGACCACCAACAACACACTGGATTACTTTTTGCATTTGATAATTTTTATACTGATTGGAAGAAACAATGTTTCTGAAATTAATTTCCTCACAGAGAAAATCTAAATCTAAAGGTAGATTTAGAGTAGATTTATAAGTATAAAAAAACTGTAACAGGAAAAGGCAGAACAAGTACTAGTCATCATGAATTTCTATCTTCTCAGCATGTCATTTAAGTGTTTATTAGTCTATGAACTCTCAGGAAAAAGACTTTTTGCCAAAAGGTCATCAAATGTGGACTCACCATTGTGACTGGATGATGTTTTTCCACAACGACTGAGCTCATGGGAGGAGAAACTCCCATTATAGCTAAACTGCTACTAATTCTATTTTTTGAAGCAAAATCACATCTCCCTGTGATCCGGGCTGTAATTGTTCTTCCAGCTTTCTGTTGTGCAGAAGTTACAACTCTTGGCACGTACTAAAAACACAAAAACAAAAACAAAGAAAGATCCAGGTGGCAGAAAATCCACAGCAAAATTTATATTACTTTTGGTTCTATAACTTGTGAAGAAAATACATGGGCACTTGAAATAATAGTATATTCAACCAATTTTAACATTAAAAAAATAAAACTTAAAATTATGAGACAAAAAGCAAAACATAAAACGAATACCCCAAAATACCCCTTTAACCTTGGTATGCCAACTATTAATATTTTATAAGGTTTTAGGAACTTAAAAAAGGACTTTTTATTCTGAAATAATGATAGATTCAAAGGGAAATGCAAAAATCATATTGGGAAGTCCTGTGTACTCTTCACCTCGTTTCCTGCAATGATCACATCTTACGTAATTTTGATGTAACAACATCAAACCAGGAAGCTGACATTGATATAATGCCTGTGTATAGACCTTGTCATTTTATCACCTGTGTAGATTCCTGTAACTATGACTCAATCAAGGTACAGAATGCAACCCTGGACAGTCATACCCACCCCCTTCCTTCCTCCAATCATTCTTAACTCCTGCAACTATTAACCTGTTTTACGAACTTTTTGATCCCTGGGCATAATTAATAATATTATTACACATGTTTTTGTGTCCTGCTTTTTTTCTCACTTTATTAATATACTTTTCATGAAATAATAGAGACTTACTTTAATTTTTAATGAGATATTTTTATATCAGCAAATGAGTCTAACTTTCTCAGTTCTTTTCCTGTTATATATAGCACCTTTTTTGTAAAAAAGGATTCCTCTTTTGAGAGTTATTTCTGTAGAATATATTGTAAAAAATGGGATGATCATATCAAACAGTAATGTCGGCTTTTATGGCTTGTGTTGCTTACTGCTGAATGATAATCAGGAAAGATTATATTTACATCAGGAATAATGCATAAGTATACTCATTTTTTTCACTGTCAATTACATAGCTGCTCATGTAAGTCTGAGGTAAAACCTAATACTTGATTTAATTTGTGGTTCCTTATTTATGTTTCATATTTGCATTCCCTTTCTATCCATGTTCTTTAACTATCTGCTAGGAATTAAAGGGTATTGCTACTAAAACTTTTTAAAAGCTCTTGATGAATATTAAGCTCATCTAATAATTACAGATACAATTTAATAGTGTAAACATTATTTTGGTTTAACTTATTATAACATTTGAAATTTCAGTGTGAAATATTAATCTAAATTCATTTTTCCTCTAGTTCTTCCAAAAGCATTTGTTAAATATTGATCTTTTCCCATTGCTATAGTCCATCTGTGCTTCTTCATCTATCTGCATCTAGCTATAGATAGTCACAGTTTATAATGAAATGGGTGGACCTAAGGAGAGATATCTCTGGGAAAATTAAAATGACAGAATATTGATGATTTTGGAAGACTGTGTGGAAAATAGCATTCGGTGGGGTTTTATAATTCCTTGGAGAGTTATGAAAGAATTCACTATTGCATAGAAAATCATGCAGACAAAAATGAAGCAATTAAGTCTAGGAACAAAAAATTGTACTAGAAAGGAAATGTAGTCATAGTATACATTCCTGGCTTAGCTATATTTACATAGTCGCCATAAATATTGGTTTAATCTAAAATTGGAATATCTATATCTAAATATTTATATATAGGGAGGATGGGGGAGAAGAGAAAAGAGAGAATAAGGTGGTATCAAAAAACCAAATCCTTTTATCCACAATAGGAAGTCATCAGCAATGTCTGACATGAACAAATGTAGACATAATGATATGAGCATATTATTTAGAAAAAAATAGAAAACAGAAGAAACAGCTAGCAAAGTTTAGGGAGAGGGATTTAGAGGACTGTTTCTCACTACAATCCTTATAGAAATTATTTGGCTTTTTAAACTATGAATTTTTATGGATCTTATGAATTTGAGAAACCAAATCTCAGATTTAAAAATATTTACTAATATGTTTTGTGGACTAAACTCATGCTTCTGACTTTACCCTATTTCTTATTAGGGAAACTTTACCCTATTTCTTATTAAAATAAGGAACAAAATAGATTTTACAAATTGCTGAAAATTCTTAAATGCTATTTTAAAATATAAAATTAATTTCTGGCAAGAAAATTCTTTGTCAAAAATCGAAAACCAGGCTGGGCGCGGTGGCTCACGCCTGTAATCCTAGCACTCCGGGATGCCGAGGCAGGAGGATTGCTTGAGCTCAGGAGTTCGGGACCACCCTGAGCAAGAGTGAGAGCCCGTCTCTACTATAAATAGAAAGAAATTAGCCAAACAACTAAAAATAGAAAAAATTAGCCGGGCACAGTTGCATGTGCCTGTAGTCCCAGCTACTCGGGAGGCTGAGGCAGTAGGATCGCTTGAGCCCAGGAGTTTGAGGGTGCAGTGAACTAGGCTGACTCCACGGCACTCTAGCCCAGGCAACAGAGCCAGACTGTCTCAAAAAAAAAAAAAAAAAAAAAAAAAAATGGAAAACTGAAGTACAACTGAGCTTGTAACCTTATTCCTGCCCAATCACACTTGAGAGGTGTAAATACTTCCTTCAGTAGCTGCTATTCTCACCTGGGGGATGGAGGAATACATTAAAAACTACAGAGGTTTGGACTGAAAAAAACTAGAGTAGTTAGAAAACTACCCACAGATGATAAGTTTCATTCTACCTAGTTGAGAATTGCTTTAGAATGTTTTCAATAAGATGAAAATATATATTCCAGGAAAGAAATAACTTTTAAAAGAAATCTCTATACACTTATTTGAATTAAACAGAGGCTGTCTTAAATGACTTGCATGTTTACCAAGAGTCAGTTACTTGTTTTCAAATGGTTTGTCATTTGTACTTGTTATTAATATTTATGTAATTAAAAATTATATAAATTGATGAAAAAAGTTGTTTTGAAAATATGTAAGGACATTTTAGAAAGAATTTATAAAGATTAGTTATTAGAAAAAATTGCTGCTAAATCAGGTGGAGACAAAAAGACGCAGAAGGATTCTATAATCAGATTGCTTTGAAAGTTTTGTTAGGTTCATGCTTTATAGAAACTGAAATTGGAAAACATAGAAAATACACTGAATGTGGCTTATATTAAAAAGATGACTTAATTACAATCTGTGGACCCACACACAGTTTGTATTCACATTAAAAACTGGCAAATTAATACATATTTATGTGTTAGGATAAAATAATGTGTGAGGTATGTATATATCATTAAAAAAATCATTCTCTTCTTTAGCTTTTTTGATTAAATGACCACTTACTTGTACCAATCATATTGGAGCTCTTTAAATTTATCAGATTAGCTGACTTAAAAAAATGCTATAAAAATGGAAGTTCTAGCATTTTAAACCGTATCAACTTAAGCCACAAAGTCGAAAGAAATGAGAAAAAAAATGACATTTAGAAAACAATATATCTAAATATTTGACAGAAAGATAACATTGACCATTGGTTAAGAGTACAGAGGTCTAGGTTAGATTGTCAGAGTCTGAATTACAACTCTAACAGTTACTAATTTTGTCCATAGGCAAGTTACTCTCCCTAAGCCTCAATCTCCTCATTTATAAAATGGGGAAAGCAGAACCAACTGCCTACTGATACCCTTTCACTTTCCATTCAGATGAAGAGGAAAGTTAGAAAAGAAACTTTACCAAATAGCTTTAAAATCCAGCTAAAAACATTTCCCAATTATTCCAACCGGAGTTAGAAAAAGAGTAAAGTGCCATCTATTGTTCCACCTTGTGAACTGCAATATATTTACTTGTATAACTGTCTAACCCTTTTTGAAAAATGTTTTTTACCATGAAATTCTGATATTTTCTTTAATGTACTGAGGATGTTGGCATTAAAGAAAATGATTTTACATATGAAGATATTATTTCATTAGCATAGCAATCCTCCTTTCTCCAGTTATTTGTTTGCTAATTCTCTGCACACACCACCTTTTCGCTACTGGTAATACCAAGACTGACTGGAAGAAGTTTTGAATGTTCATAGGAAGCTCTGTGATTAAAATGAAAAGAAAGATAACCAGACCTGAATCGCAAATCTCTCTTCTTTTCCTATTCCCAACAACAATGGTTTCACATGAAGTTAGTCAACAACTGGATTTGGTCCTACATATGTTATTGTGGTTCTTTTAAAAAGAAGGCATGTTTGAGGTGAATCTTAGTATTTAATTATATAAAGAAGTAAGAAAACCAGCATTATACTTACAGATAGATTTACTTGTGATTCTTTCTCCCTGGTCCTAAAGGCCTTACTTATGTCAATGAAATGAACATCTACCTGTTTTTGAAGGAGTAGATGTAGTGGCACAGGGGACAGATGAGGAAGGACTGTCAACATAACGTTGTGGTTATCAGGTTTCAAAGACTTCAAAATTATATCAGGTGATCAAATTATTTCAAAAGTTAGCAACAAAAAGGGTGGTAAACAAACTCATTCATTCGGTTCTTTCCATGCATATTCAGGTTTACATATAAATGCAGATGTACTAGTGTAGTCACATTTTAAGAAGGGAATTTTGAAAAATCTAGTGCTGTGTGTTATCTGCATATGCAAGATGAATGACAAATGAGAAATTTAAATAAACACTCATTGTGTTTATTTAAATCAGTCCATGAGGGATCACCCTTCAAAATGTGTAATCATGGAAAATAAACACAGCTGAACATGTCGGGGTTGAATTTTAATGTCTTATTTCTAAGTTAAAACTCCCCCACATTCAAATTTCTACAGTCGTGCTCGTTTTAACGTATTTAAGAGCAAACATGATAAATAGCTGATCTTAACATATTTTTCCCCCAAAGTTAGTAGCTCTCAAAAGGTAGAAATTCAGACCAGCTAGAATACTAAAGATGACCAATTGTCTGGCTGACTCAATCCCTCCCTTGGCTACAGAGAACTATCTAGAGTAATGGCACCTTCTGATGGATGGCCTGCCAGGGGAACTTTAAGACTAAAACTTATTCTGTCATCTTTTTTCCTCTTATGTAAGTGGTTAGGCATTGGGAAGAAGAGAAAGACAAACAAATCAGAATCATCTCAGGAACGTTATAAAACTATACATGCCTTTGTGCCAGCACCACTCCAGAGTAGGGAAGAACTTCATAGTGAGGTGTATTTTTTTTTTAAGGCTCTGCACAGGTGAGGCTGGTAAGCTTGGCTTGCATCCCTACTCCAGTCTCTCTTGAGAAACATGATTTGAAGAATATAAGTTTAACAACAGGAGGCTGAGGAGTCAGAGCCACCATGTGCTTTGTCTGAAACTCTTACCATATTAATAGCTTGATTAATTTCACTTCAGGCAAGTTCTCACACAAATCCTCCAGCCCCATTCCACACTCTCCTCTGGGCACTTCTCTGCTAGTAGCTCAATGACTTTGGGAAAAACTATTCCTATCTCTCTCCCAATTATAAATTAAAAATTAAAACCTAATCAAGATGGAGTCCCTACAGAGCAGTATTAGTGATATATCTGCAGCCAGGAAAAGGAAAGCTGTTAGTTGAATAGAAAATATACAATTAAATATACATTAACCTCCTTCAAAATACCCATTAGTTTCCTTCAAACTTAAAAAAACGTCTGTCATCAACTCTTTCTCAAATTAAATCTAGTTTCTCTATATAGTTTTTGAAAAATGGAAAAAGTTCTTTATTTTTGTTTTAATTATCACTACCGTGATAGCACTTTCAGTTATTATTTTTCATTACAATTTAATGTTTTAGCCACTTTACATATTTAATATTTTCTGTGGCTTCACTTAAATACTACATAGATCTTTTTCTTCCATAGGAAAATACATTTTGAATTCAAAATATCCAATTTACAAACAAATTTTTGAGCCCTTAAATTAATAACATGGCACTTGTATAAACTGTACTAACCATTTCTTCTGGTGCAGCAGTAGCTGCTGATCCTGCACCAAGAAGAGAAACGGGAACGTGAACAGAAGACGTGGAAGCAGCCCCGGCAGAAGTCATGGAAGTGGCAGAGGGAACGGTGGTCGCACTGGCCACTGCAGGTGGGGATGGCAGCAGCGGAGATGCAACTGGTACGGGTATCTGGGAAGCTGAAGGATCCAAATGAACAGGATGTTCTTTTCCTTGTACACCAGGACCATATTCTTCCTTTTTATTATTTATGGAGTCTATCCCTATAAATCACAAATTGATTCCATTAAAATTCTTCCAAGTTAGGATTACTATTATCCTCCAAACAATAAAAACACTTAATGGCTACAGTTTGGTCCTAATAAAAATTTACATATTTGTCATACCCTATATTTGGCTACAATGTTCAGTTAATACAGTCTGTCACTATTAACTGTTAATGTCAGCATTAACCAATGAAGACTTCAGACCACTTTCTTCAGCATGTGAAAACTAATAAATGATTTGCTTTTATATAAAAGATAAAAATAAATTATGTACTCAGCTGGGACCCCAGGTAAGTAGAGTGTACTGGCATCACAACTATTACAATAATATGGTCACACTGAGCCTAAAGATTCATGTCCTTTCACATTATTTCATATACCTATCCTGATAAATGGTCTGGTATTCAGATCTTTAGGGCTACTTCCTGATAGCACCATATTTTCATCTATTGCTCCTATCCTAACATAAACAATGTGTTTTTATTCTTAAATTGTCAGCAAATAATAATAAATCAATAAGCAAAACTAAAGTATTCACTTTTGACATTGTAAGAGAAATGCATTCTTGTAGGTAGATAATATAAATCAAGAATTAAGTGCATATCTATACACTTAACTGTTTGCAGTGACACCCCATCAAGTAATCTTCCCTCAGAACTTAACCTTGACCTAAGGAGTGAATGATGTCACCTTCCAGAAGCTAGGATATAGGGTTTCTTCCAATTTTAGCTTTTTTCCTCCTAGTATTAGAATTTGGTGAGTTTTCTATGTGATACCAAACAGTGGGGTGAGGGTTTGGAAATTCAGTCAATGAGACATTTCAGAATATCTGAATATAGGGCATTATGTAGGTCCTATGTTGAAATGGTTTTCTATGTTGTCCTCTTTCGATTCAGAAATTTGGACTTCTGCGTAAGTCCTTTTCTTACACCATCTGTATAGAAAGTATATAGAGCAACAGTTAACTTATTAACAATGATTACAGTGCCTAGATCCTTTGAAATCCCCTAACGAAAGTGACTAATTCAATATAAAATACCTTTTTAATTTGAAAATAAAACACACATAAACACACATACACTGAATTTCAACACGTGTTTGATAGAAAGTGATTCCAGTTGTCTCTCTTTAGGTAGTGGCAGACATTATCAGATACAGAACCAGAACAAACACATCCATCGTAGAATATTAGTACTGGAGACCATATCCATCACTGAAATCTCCTCCAATCCTTTTTTGAAAGTAGGCAGAGAATCTTCAATGAAATACTAACCTGTATCATTTCTGTTTTGAAATATGGTCATGGCTTCAAGATTTAATGCACATACACCCCTCATGAAAGCTTTTTTCATGGAATCTTCGAAGTGCTCTTTTTCATGTTGCATTCTTTGAATTTCAGCTTTTGCATTTTCCAAAGCTCCAGTTAACTAAAATAAGAATTAAAAAAAACAAAAACAAAAACAATTTGAGATGCAAGGAGGAATATTATTATTGAAAAATAGACTTAAACTGTGAGGTTATTCTTATGTGAAATATTAAAAACAGTTTCCCTATGTGCCTCAATTTATTTTAAAGGTGTATCTTACCTTTATTTCCATCAAAAAACGATTTTCATTCCTAACCATAAAGTCAAGGCTCAAACAAGGGGAATTTCATATCAGTCTCATTAAAGATTGCTGATGTGTTTTCATTATACAAGCATTATATGTTACAAAACATTATATGTTATTTCTTACCATAAAACTTGTATGTAGGGTATTAAACAAAATATATTAAGAGCCATATCCTTTTCCCTTCAGAAAAAAAAATAACTAAATGCCTGCAATATTAATAGAATTTTAAAAAAGTAAATGTTATCTATAGAATTTAAAGTGCAAATAATAGATGCTGGAGTGGATGCAGAGAGAAAGGAATGCTTCTACACTGTTGGTGGGACTGCAAATTAGTACAACCTCTATGGAAAACACTACGGAGATATCTCAAAGAACTAAAAGTAGACCTACCATTTGATCCAGCAATCGCACTACTAGGTATTTACCCAAAGGAAAAGAAGTCATTTTATCCAAAAGACGCCTGCACTCAAATGTTTATTGCAGCACAATTTACAGTTGGAAAGATGTGGAATCAACCCAAGTGCCCATTAATTCATGAGTGGCTTAACAAATGTGGTATATGTATACCATGGAATACTACTCAGCCACGAAGAAGGATGACTTAATGCCTTTTGCAACAATTTGGATGGAACTGGAGACCATTATCCTAAGTGAAGTTTAAATATCTAAAGAATGGAAAAACAAATACCACATGTACTCGCTATTAAATTGGAAATAACCAATTAGCACACATGTGCATAGAGGGAAGCAAAACTCAACGGAAATCAAGCAGTGGGGAGAGGAGAGGAGGAGATGAGTGAAAACCTACCTGATGGGTACAATGAACACTATCTGGGAGACACACTTATAACTATGACTCAAGCATTATAAAAGTGATCCATGTAACCAAAAATATTTGTAACCCCGTAATACTTTGAAATAAAATACATACATACATGTTAGAGGCAAAAAAAAATTTAAAGTGCAGAGCGACATTATGTGCAACACACTTTTCCATAGACCAAAGCTAAAGAGACTATATATTTTTTGCATGTCATTTTGAGTTGCAGAAAATTATTACGAAATTTATTTTTAATATTAAGAATTTAGTACTATAACAATGAAATTTTTTTTTCCGTTTAATATTTGATTTCAAGAGGCCTATTGCATTCTTCAGAATAGTTTTTATTTCATTTTGGATCCCAAATTGTTTTCCCATGGAAAAATGTTAATTTTATTATTAAATGTCAATGGGAAAATAATTTCAAGTTACATACAACTGCTTTATATCAACCTTGAAAGAACATATTTTATTTAAATTAACATGAGAATAAACATTTTTGGTTTTTGTCTTTATTCTTAGCTACATAAAGACCCAAAGAGGAGTTTAACTATAAATTAATAATCTACCTATCTTTTTTACTATATTAAAAAAAGTAAAAATTTAAAAAAGTTTACCATAGCAACTTTGGTTTCATAATCGTTGGAAATCTGGACACAAACTTCTTCAGCTCTTGCTTGACAAGCTCGTTCCACCACATCTTTCCACTGCTTTTGTACTATGGAGCGCCAGCCTTTCCAGACTTTCTTTAATAATGTTCTTTGGAAGTACTGGTCAGCTAGTTTACCTTCATAAACCTAAATGAAAGTAATATGCAACCTCAAAAACACAGTAGATTGATAAATATATTGGTAGTAACAGTAATAAACATAACGTGGTGGTAGGTGTACATACATTATCATTTAATCCTGTGTAATCATAACAGGCGTAGAGAGGTTAAGTAACCTGTCTAGGTCACATAAGTAGGAAGGGTAAAGCCAGACTTGCCTGATTGTAGAGCCTGAGCTCTTATCCGTTACATCATTGCTTTATGTAGCTAATCAAGTTAGGGGAAAAAGGAAAAAGCCAAATAAAAGAAAATGAGTAAATTGCCACCTGCCATCTTGGCAATGAATTTGCATGACCTTTTGGGGAAAGTAGAACCAGAAGAATAAACAAAGAGTGGCTGGAAGGCAAAAAAGGTGGTAGCTGTGGCTTCAGATGACACTGCTTTCTCTTTGGCTTGGTGGCCACTAGCATAAGTAAGCTTAATTTAATTTACATACCTTGCCATCATATATAATGCAAAACTGATCCAAATAGGAATATATGCCATTTTCATTTTACTGATGAATTTAAATTCTTTTGAAAAAGGAGTTCCAATTCTCAATTTTCTTAAATTTGAAAAACTATCCAAAAGTGATGGCAGTTTCAACTATTCCAGCTAACATTTAAAAATAAATATGTATCCTCATTATGTCACTTGGCAAACAACTTTCAAAATAAAGCATAAATTCTCATTTTTAACAGTTCATTTCAATATGATTAATGTGGATTTAATATATTGGGATTAATTAAAAAATGAAAACACTAGAAAGTATTCTTAAAGGAGAAATCCTATTCCACAATGCAGGTTGAGCATTCCCTAATTCAAAAATCCAAGATTTTGAGTGCTGATACGATGCCATAAGTGGAAAATTCCATACGTAAGTCATCAAAACAAACTTTGTTTCATGAACAAAATTATTAAAAGTATCATATGCAATTACCTTCAGGCTATACGTATAAGGTGTGTATGAAATACTATAAATGAATGTCATGCTTAGACTTGGGTCCTATCCTTAAGATTTCACATTATGTGTATACAAATATTCCAAAATCTGAAACAATCTGAAATCCAAAACACTTCTGGTCCCAAGCATTTTGGATAAAGGATACTCAACCTGTAATAGCTTTTTCCTTAAATACTAATCTCTTGGAAGCTAAATGCAGTGATTACTCTATGGCTCACGTGAATATACATGAACAAAAAATATATCCATCTTCTATACTTGTGGGTCTGTATACTATCTCTTCTTGTGGGAGACATATATATATATAATAAGATATACATAATATTAATAATATAATTATATATTATACTATATAGTATCTATTAATATATTATATTAATAATATATAATATATATGATATATATTAAATAAGAGGTGAGTCACTATATCAGAGTAACTAGTGAACTGAGAATTATATATATAATATATATGAGAATTATATATGTATTATATATATATAATTCTCATATATATAATATATATGAGAATTATATATGTATTATATATATATCTCAGTTCACTAGTTACTCTGATGTATTGACTCAGCTCTTATTTAATTAAAATAAAAGATGTTGGCCGGGCGCGGTGGCTCACGCCTGTAATCCTAGCACTCTGGGAGGCTGAGGCGGGTGGATTGTTTGAGCTCAGGAGTTCGAAACCAGCCTGAGCAAGAGCGAGACCCCGTCTCTACTAAAAATAGAAAGAAATCAATCGGACAACTAAAAATATATAGAAAAAATTAGCCGGGCATGGTGGCGCATGCCTGTAGTCCCAGCTACTCGGGAGGCTGAGGCAGAAGGATTGCTTGAACCCAGGAGTTTGAGGTTGCTGTGAGCTAGGCTGACGCCATGGCACTCTAGCCCGGGAAAAAAAAGAGTGAGACTCTGTCTCAAAAAAATAAATAAATAAATAAATAAATAAAAGATGTTCAAGTTTAAATGATATACTACAAACTAAGGATAATTTTTAAAAAGCTCTACAGGTCTGGCTTTCTTTGATTCTTACTCTAAGGCAATTCTATACAACAGACATTTGCACTATTTTTAATGTATAAATATAGTAATGCCTCTTTATGAAGAGGTTTTATTCAGGCATTTTAAAAGTAGAAACAATATAGGAAGCATATGATATGTCAAAGATTATACATTCTTTCTCCACATAACCACATCTGAGGCCACATTTGTTAAAAGGGTTCCATTACCAGGGCATTTCTAATTTAGGTACAATCCTTATTAAGCCACCATGAAGCAGCAAATTATATAAATATATACACACACACACACACACACACACATATCTCATAATATATATGTCTCTGAAATCTAGAGGTATCTTTTCCAAACTATACTTACTAGAAAACAAATCTTTCTTTGACTTTAACAAGAGTTCTAATAAGTGGTCCTAAACACTTTTGAGTTCAGAAGTCTAATATCTATAAGTGGTCTTTTTTTTAATTTTTAAATTTTTATTTATTTTTATTATTTTTAAAAATTTTTTCCCACATCCCCCCAGTCTTCTTTTTTTTTCACTTACGTCCTGCCTGGATTTGACATGGCCAATTCGCCAGTGGAAGAATGTTCTCATCAACTCTGTCTTTTCCTTCTGCTTGCCTATGGCATGAGACAAGCTAGAAATCACCTGTGAACAGCAATTAACCCAATTATTGTAATGTTACAATAACAGCAATTGGTAGAGTGATTTTTTTATATCAAAAAAATGCTAGAGAGAATAGCAATATAGATCACTACTATATTGATCCCATTAACCTCATTATTATCTTTCAAAAGACCAATAAACTTCCCCATATGAATACACTAAATATCAACTAATGAAGGGGAACAAAAGAGGAAAGAAATCTTCATTATGTTTATATCTTGGTAATCACTAGTAAAAAGTTTATGGTATATGAAAATTAATATAGTCATTGACATTTAATTCAGGAAAAACAATTATATGTTTGAAAGTTTTGCTACATATACAGTCTTTATTCGCTAGACTTGAGGGCAGGGTTTAGGTTTTAAATATCTTTCTAGTCCCTACCTTGGATAGAGAAGTTCCTCAATATTGTTTAATGATTTTCTGTATTAAACAAACTTATAAAAGCAAATAATGGTCATATTCTGATGCACTCTTTCAGTGATATTATTATTCTTGTTCTTAAAAAAAATTTGAAAGGCTTTTAAATGCTAAGATAATATTCTCTCTCATAAAGAACTGAATAACTGAAATATATTTCTGCAAATGGCCACATTAAAGAGAGATTTTTGTAAATCGGGCACATTTACTAAGAGACATTTGTTTCTCTTCTTCCTTAAATAATTTCAAAAGAGTAAGAGGGTACATATTCTAAGACATTGGTACTATTCTATTTATTAAGCTGGATGGTGGTGCATGGCTATTTACTTTATTCATTTTCATAAACTGAACATACAATACCTATACTCTTTTTGTGTTGATACTTCAAAATAAAAAAATTAAATGTGATATATTTTAAAAGCCTTAGAACTGAATGTTGAGGATAACAAATTGACTGACATTAGTATCCATTGTTTCAGAAAAGCAAACTACATAAAATATTCAATTTTATATTATATCCTACCAAACCAAAAGATATCCGTATTTTTAAAAACCCCAAAAACTTTACCTAGTTCATTAAAACACTTGGATGCTGCTTCTGCAGACAAGCAGCTGCCTGCCCCAAGTCCTTCTCCTCTGAAAGCCACCACCTTCCTATCCATAATGAATGCAGGGGCTGGGTGCAGGGGGAACAGATTTGTTGCCCATCTGCTTTGTTCCAGGAGCTATCAGGAGGCAAAAAATTAGCACAGACCTGAACCTTACCCTCAAGTTTTTAAGAAGCTAACAGAAAATGAAATAAGAGATATTCTCTGTTTTTATTAATAAAACGAAGAAAGACTTCATCAATGAATAAAGACATAGACAGAATTTGAGATGCTTAAAGCCAGGTGTGGGGGTGTGTGCCTGTAGTCCCAGCTACTGGGGAGGCTGAGATGGGAGGACTGCTTGAGCCCATTAGTTCGAGGCTGCAGTGTGCTATCACATCTGTGAATAGCCACTGCTCTCCAGCCTGGGCAACACAGAGAAAACCTGGCTCAAAAAAAGAAAGAAAAATAAAATTTGAGATGCTTAAAATGATGCCTAAAAGGATAGTTTAAAATGTGGATAATGCTGGTTCTTTAATGCTGTTTTAAGGGCAGTTAGGAAGAAAAGATTGGAAAGAAAAAACTAGTATACCTACAATTATGATATACTCTTTAAAAAATATTATTTCAAATTGACAAATCATAGCTGTATACATGTATGGGGTACAAGGTGATGTTTTGATTTATGTATACAAAGCATACATTCAATAATCGTTAGTTCTTGGAATTTATTGCCTAGCAAGACATTTACTGATTCTCAGTTAAAAAAAGATATATAAAAGAAGACCTCATCTTTTCTCCCAATGGAGATTTCAAAGGCTTTTTGCAGCTCCTTCAATTCGTTGATCTGGTTGCACAGTTGTTTTGAATGTGCTGCATGTTTTTCTTTCTCTTTTTTCATTTCCATTCGGTGCCAGTCAATAAAATTAAGTTTCCATTTACTTAGTTCAGATATGATATTTGTCTGAAAAATAAGTATACTGACAATTAAGTATTTTGTTCCTTAATATCACTTCTTAAAACTACACTGAAATTAAGAAACATTAAAAAATAATCAAAACAAGCAATCAACACAAGAGCTATTAATTTTTTCGTATTTTAAGTAATTTTGTATGAAATTTTGCTGTTATTTAAAAAAAAATTTCAGGCCTCATTCACTATGTCCCTTTGTTTATTCAAGGACTTAATATCCATATGAAGATGGATCAGGGAAAAAGGAAACACAGGATTACAGCCAAGGCTGAGCCATATGACCAGGCAGTTATGGACAGCAGGGAGTTGATCCTTTCTTCCCCAAACCATTTATCACAGTGTTCACCTTACAACAAATTGCTAAGTCTTTTCAACCTGCTGACTGGCCTACATAAAAATATCAAATAAGCATGTGTTATCAAAAAACCTGGATATAAGACATGGTTAACTGAATACAGAATAGTTTAAGTGGTTTGGGATACACTATTCCAATAGACTTACACTAATATTAGAAGTATGAAACCTGGTCCAAGGAGGGAAAGTGGTAAAAACTATACTAAAAGATCATTTCTAGAATTTAAGGTTCCACATAATAGAAAAATATAAATGCCATAAACAGAACTCACATGGCCATAATTTCTCCACGTATGTGAATACTCGATTGAGTTTTTTCAAACTACGTATTTCAGAAAAACTGTCATTGCCTCCATTTTTCTTAAATAGTAAAGAATTTCCCACTTCTGCAATATTTTGTTTTACTTAGAGGCCACTAATATCACCAAAGTAAAAATAAATTTTCATAGATTTATCAGTTATACATTGTGGTTGCCATAAGAGTGGCTATAAAATGAATATACATTGCTAAAATCAGATCTTCTGTTTCACACAAAAGGAGACATTTTCATTTGTCATAACTAAGATATGGTAAAGGCTCAATATGTCTCAGTTGACATACACTCAGCCTTTCAAAGCATCTGAGAAATTCAGTGGAACATGTACAACTGTTCCAGCAACTATTTAAAACCTGGCAATTCAAAGTGTGGTTTCTGAACTGGTAGCATCAGTGGGGAGCTTGATGGAAACGCATAATCTCGGGCCCTGCCCAAGACCTACTGAGTATGAAGTTGCAGTTTAACAGGGTCCCCAGGTGATTCACAAGTACGCTAAAGACTGAGAAGCACAGATTTAGGACACCGACCGATCTTCTCAGGAAACAAAAGATTTTTTAAAAAACCTTTTAATTTAAAGGAAAGAATAAACAGTATAATCAAGAGCAAAACTGTTACACTGCGTATTAAACAACTGCAATACCTTAAGACCCGAGCTCCAAAGATCAAGTACATTTTCCATCTTCTGAAGGTTTTCATCAGAAACAAGAAAATCACTCACAATTACTTCATGGCCATCTGTATGACTAGAATTAGTTGCTGCTGAGGAAGAGTCAACTAAAAGATGTGAACTGAAAAAATCCATGACTGGGTGAGAAGGCTTCCTTGGTGATAACACTGGTGATGACCCTAGAAGAAAAGAAAAGTTGTAGCAGTCAAGCCGAATTGAAAATTACTCCAATCAGTAAGGAATCATATTAGAAGGCTAAAAGGTGTCTGCTACCTAAGGAGGCTGAGAAAAATGCAGAGAAATTACCTTTCAAGTATACCTTAATTTGGCTATTTTTAATCTCAGTATTGCTACTGATTTAGGGCTGACTAGTATGAGATACCTCCTACACTACCTCCATCCCCCAAACCATTGACCTCTATCCCAAATAAGGAGGGTCTATATATATATCCAGGTCCAGCCTGAGCTGAAACTATTATCAACCATACCATGTTACCACTAATCAAGTGCTTTCTATGTTTCTGTAATAAAAACATTATAAAGATTAGCTCTCATAACATATGCTAGCCTAAAATATGGGTATCATTATCTCCATTTTACTGATGAAGAAAACTGAGGTTCAGAAAGGGGTGATTTACCAAGGTCATAGTGGTTGTACATAGGTCATTGTTACTTTACATGTTTAACACTGAGATGGGTCTTAATACTACTAAAATTCAACAATAAGTAGAAAGAGACTAATAATTTAGCTTTTGAGAAACACTGTGGTAAGGTACCCTGTTAGTCTTTTATCACAGAGGTGAGAAATATACACATCTATATGTATATATGTCTATATATACATAACTCATCCCCTGTCCATATACAGGGACATGGGGGAGAGCCAGAGCCCAAAATAGAACTTGTATCTACCTCTAAAAAGCACAAAATAGAAAAGCTAATATTTTATCACAAATTTATGCTGAAATTATAGACTATCCATCATCATTTCTCACAAATCTCACATTTGTTATGAGCATTCTAATAATGAAGATGAAAGAGCTTTCCTCTCTTCCTTACTGAATGAATCAAACAAGGACAAATTTACTATAGAACTTGTTACCTAAAAGTAAATCTTTCAAGAATTCTTTGCAAAATGAAATATCATTCCTTAATATGTATGCTTAGCATAAAAAATATAACAAGGTTTGGGCTAGTCACACTATGAAACACTACCTATGTGTTTTGAGGAAGGTCAAGAAACCCAAAGAACAAGGTAGAATGACAAAATACATGAACATTCTCTTTTATGGGATTTTAATTATTCTAACCATGTCAAGGAAAAAGTCTCAATCTGATTCTAGTATTTTTTTTTCCCCCCCTCAGGAGACAGAATCTTGCTCTGTCACCCAGGCCAGAGTGCAGTGGCAACATCATAGCTCACTGCAACCTCAAACTCCTGGGCTTAAGTGATTCTCCTGCCTCAGCCTCATGAGTAGCTGGGACTACAGGCAAGCATCATGATGCCTAGATAATTCTTTTATTTTTTTAGTAGAGATGGGGTCTCGCTCCTGCTCAGGATGGTCTCAGAACTCCTGAGCTCAATTTTCCCGCCTCAGCCTCCCAGAGTGCTAGGATTATAGCCACCGTGCCTCTGGTATGCTTTTAAAACTTCTTTAGCACGTGCTAATCTCTTCTTCCAACAAAGACAATGCAGGCATCAGGCTGAATGCAACATTACCAGCAGTATTTTGACAAAATTTAGTAGCTTTGCTTTTGCTGTATTTATTTTTACCATTACTTTCCATATGTAACAAGTGTATATTAGTTTTATGTTATATTCAGTAGTGACTGATATAAAGTTTCCTTTTAAAATGAACTTAAGCTAAAAAGTGGACATATTTAACAAAAAACACTAAATGATAGAATAGGTGGTATAAAGATAGGATGAAAATCATTACACTGGTACACAAATGCCAGAAAGTTGGGAAAAAGGGCAGTGGTTTATAAAAACATTTAAATTGGCCAAACTATCTAATATCCCACTAAATCTTTTAAAATACTTGCCCTCTAACTTGGCAATTTTAAAAAAGGATGCCACACACTATAATGCATTAACTTGTCTTAATTATACTATTTTGGAATCTTAAAAAATTATTTTAAATATTATCACTTACATTGGCAACAATAGCATTTTAAAATCCTGTCTGTAACATGCCAAAATTAGTCCTCTTACTACATAGGGAATATTCATCCAACCACAAAATGTTGTATATTAATAAAAATAAGCTAAGAAAAAGTCATACCATCTGTCTTTGAATGACTTGAAATATTGAAATCACATCCTTTTCCAACTTCCATTGCAGTTTCTCTTAATAAAGGGTTATCTCCTGCTGAAAAGAAAACTTTTTTAAAAATTAAACTGAACCACTCTTAAATAAAATGCTTAATCACTCATACCTAATTTAAGAAGGTGGCAGTACATAAGTAAGATTTTAGAACAAACAAAATACAATATACTGGGGATACGGGAACACTAAGACAAAGAACAAGAAGAAAGAAAAAAACCCTAAGACTAGAATGAGACTTATTATATCATTGATAAGCTCCATCTCACACACCAAATATGGGTGAAAGATAATTCAGTCTACCACAGCATTCAATTCATAACAAGACTAGACTAAGTGGGCGAATGACATTAGAATGTAGAAAAAGATTTGCTATCTTACGACACTGGATATTTCCAGAGGCCTGCTGCTTTTCACTAGGGGCAATCAAACTAAAGTGGCACTGGTTCTCCCAAACAAGGACCTTTGCTTTCACTTCAGGAACCTTCAGTCAATAGATGGCAAAAAGGAAACTGTAAAAAACCTGCAGGAATGTCTGTGCTAGAAGCTTATATATACTTTGCCAGGTTCAACACATGCAGCTTTATACTAAGCGACTGCAATACCAAGATTAAAGAGAATGTGTGATGATAAATTTACACAATCCAATCTATCAAAGGCTACTTATGAATCAGGATGCCTAAAAGATATCTAAACTCACTATATGTTGTATGTTTTAATCTCATATTCTTTTTGGAAAAGGCAGAGCATAAATAAATACTATCTTACATGGGAGAAAAGAGCAATGGTCCTAAACCTCAGGTGCTTACCTTGCAATGTTGAAGGTTGGAGCAAGGGAAAGACGCCTGTATGGTATCACTGGGAATAATAGTACAGTAGTACTTTTTGGCAATGGGAAAGGAAACAAGTTTTTCACAATCCCCTTAAGGGTAGAGGTATATAGGGCTACAATGCTGGATTTGCCTATTTAAATTTATAAGAGAGTATGCTGCACTTTGAGTTCTCAGTAGTAACAGCATGTTGAGGTACACAGTGTAATCAAAACATGATCAAGTTTACTGATGTAAAATGAGTGATTCCAAGGTTCATATCTCTTGAAGATCAGTAAAATTTGGATAGAAAATTTTCTATGTTAGAATGTTTCAGTGTTAGAATAAATAATATATTTTTAAGGCTCTAGTCCTATGGTTTTATTTGTTGTTCCAATGCAGTAGGCCAAAGACTAAGGCACAATGAAAAATCCGTGTCTACAGAGGGTGAGAAACAATAGACACTAGGGTTGTTACCTACCAGAAACCCATGAGCCTTTTGACTCTGAGTAGGCTGTGTCATGTGCCTTCAAGGACAGGGATCCTTGGAGTTATACCTATAGTGGATAACTGTTCATTATCTGGGCTGTTTTGGGAAGGCTTTCTGTGCCCTTTCAAAGAACATTTAGAGTGAGCTGTTTGGGATTTTGCACTTTACTAAATAAGAAATGAAGGTAAAGGAGCTTTATCTTCCATTCTCTACCTTTTACTCATCTACCAACACACATCCTGGCTTGTATTAGCTCTCAATTCTGCTCTCAATTGTTCTCAATTATGAACAAATGGGTTCACCTTCGTGATGATATTCTAAACAGTCCTCCACATCCATATATAAAATATTGCTGACGAAGTACTAGTATGTGGTTCATAAAGTAACTTAAGGGACTCTGAGGGCCACCTATGGACCATCTTTAATTTAGGGCTTAGGGATTTAGTTTTCAAGATAATCTTGGCATAAAATTGTTTGAACAAGTACTGAGATGCAACATACTCCACTAAGAGATGTGAGATTGCTCTGGTGTTGCTTCAACTTTATTACTTTTCAAAGTTAAGAGTCAAATGAAGTCCAGATAAAAATCCAGCTGCTTATCTAAGAGCCAGGAACAACAGTAAAGTGTAAAAAGTTCCCTCAGATGATACTGATACACACCAATAGTTAAGAAGAATCATTGATCTGGGAAGCTATTTTCATAATCATAAGTGAGTTATTATTAATAAACTCAATAATATCATAAATTAAGAGATATCTTCGAAAATATACCTAACCTTGACTATGAAGAATACCATCAATTGCAGTAGGAATTCTAACATCTGCCGCCACTTCTCCCTCAGGATGAGATGACTGTGAAGCACTTGATTCAATATTTGGAGTCACTATCGCGTAACGAAGTAGTTCTTCATACTCTTCCTTTGAGAAGCCAATAATTTATTATAAATTATAATGTTATAATATATTCAACTACTGGATTTTTTTTGTTTTTAAGAAATTTAATTACCATAATAGAGTCACATGCTTATCACAGTACAAAGAGTTTTAGCACTTACTCCATGCTTGAGTCCTTTGAGTGCTTCTTGGGTGATTTTTATATTTATGATTAAAAGTGTGAAGACGTGATATATTCTGTGGATGATTCAACAGGGAATCAAAAATTTTCTATCTTATTTTTTATGGTTCAGATCAGTTTAATTTAAGATAAGACTGTTAAAAAGCTACCATTTTCAGAATTTTCTTGGTATTATGTAACCAAAATAAAATATAGAAGCAAATTGGATACGTAAGCTTATAAAACCCACACTGGCCTTCAATCACCTCCCCCAACTCTCCCAATTTTGAATGTACATTTATCAAGGCAGTTTAGCTGTTTTTGCTAACTGACTTTGTGAGAAGTAAATGTCACATATTGGAATTTTCAAAATAAATCTACAGGCCGGGCGCGGTGGCTCACGCCTGTAATCCTAGCACTCTGGGAGGCCGAGGCGGGCGGATCGTTTGAGCTCAGGCGTTCGAGACCAGCCTGAGCAAGAGCGAGACCCCGTTTCTACCAAAAATAGAAAGAAATTAATTGGACAGCTAAAAATAGATAGAAAAAATTAGCCGGGTGTGGTGGTGCATGCCAGTAGTCCCAGCTACTCGGGAGGCTGAGGCAATAGGAGCGCTTGAGCCCAGGAGTTTGAGGTTGCTGTGAGCTAGGCTGACGCCACGGCACTCTACTCCAGGCATCAGAGTGAGACTCTGTCTCAAAAAAAAAAAAAAAAATAAATAAATAAATCTACACAATTGCAGTTTTGTTTCAATCTGCTTTCTATATTGGAATTTTAAGTAAAACTGTTTGAAAAAAGGGTTTATGCTGTTATATGTTTGAAAACTGCTAATCTTTAGGCATTAAATGTAAAAGAGTGATTTGATTTGAGCTTCGACCTTGACTTACGTATTTAACATAGATACTTACATGTAGTAAATATTAGGTAATTAGCAAATACAGATTTTTACGTATGTTAAAGCTAACAACAGAAGAGAAAACACATATAGTCCAAAGAGAAAAATCTTTAGTCAATTCAATCACCAGACTCTCCTTCATATTGCTATAATAAACTCTTTATGTTAGTGATGTCCCATTCGTAACAACAAACATCTGAGTTTTAAACTTACATTTCATGATAGCAAATAAAAGTCACTATTTCACATTATGGTTATCACTGAGGTAAAAGGTTCTTATTAGGAAAAAAATCACTTAGACTATCACAATATGACATTATTTTTTATACTGACAAAACTATAATTCTTCAAATAGATTTAAATACCCTTAAAGTTTTAAAGTACACTGCCTGAGCCATATCAGTTTTCCAGTTATTATAATAAAAGGAAATTCCCAAATAGTTTGATAAATTGGGACCATACAAAAGATATTCACTGGTCCCTATAAACCTAGATGTATGATTTGGTTCTAATAAACCAAAAAAATATATAAAATTTCAAGGCATAGAGACTGCAAAAGGTCCAGCAACATCCATTTTCTCTTTATTTAAGTTAATAAAGTTCCGGGGTTTGACTTGGGCAAATGGCCACCCAGCTATATTTCCCAGTATCCCTTGTGTCTAGGTGTGGCCAAGAGACCTAGTCTGTAGGACTTGAATGGAAATGATGTGTATAACTCCAGGTGAAGTCCTTAAAAAGGAGGCTACTTGTTTCCTATTCCCCTCTTCCCATAGGCTAGGCGTGTTGGTGCACTAGCACCTGACAATGACATGGTCAATACCCTAGCATGTGGCAGAGCAGGCAGCAAGAGAGAATCAAACTTCAAGGCACTCACTTAAGCCACTCTTACTTGGTTTCTGTTACAGCAGCCCAAAAAACACCCTATCATACTTTCCGAACAGCCAAAGTAAATTTTTGATTTTGGCTAAGAATATATAAAGTGTGGCTGTTATGGACTGAATGTTTGTGTCCCTCCCAAATTCATATGTTTAAGTCCTAACAACCCAATGTGGCTATATTTGGAAATGGGGTTTCCAAGGAAATAATTAAGGTTAAATAAGGTCATCGGCTAGGGCCCTGATCCAATAGGATTAACGTCCTCATAAGAAGAGACACTAGGAGGCTTGTGCACTCTCTCCTCCCATGTGCACATAATGCATCGTGGAGAGGCCATGAAGACATAGCAAGAAGACAACTGTCTGCAAGCCAGGATGGGAGCCCTCACCAGAAACTCACCCTGTTGGACTTTGACCTGGGACTTCTAGCCTCCCAAACTGTGAGAAAATAAATGTCTGTTGTTAAAGCCCGCAAATCTATGGTATTTTGTTATGGCAGCCCAAGGGGACTAATGTGATGGCTATTTTACATTTTGAGGTCCATGATGTCTTTAGAGTCTCCTTCCTCTGGTGGCAATTATAACTAGATTTAGCCAAATCAGCTCTGCCCAATTGGAGTTAGTGTATTACCACCTCCAGCGTGTAGGAAGGGAGGGGAAGTAGAAGTCAGTGGCCATAACTTGTGTCTTTCCTAGTCTGACCTTTGTTCTGGATCAGAAAAGTGGAAAAAAAAAAATCCAAACATATGTCAAAGTTCCCACAATGACTATGACTTAAAGAGGACATAAATAGGCATATATCAATAGAATTCGGTGCTCATATATTCTAATTTATTTTAGGGAAAGATTTTAAAAACCAGTTATTTAAGTGACTATTTTACAGTTTCATATATGTAGATACAGGCCAAATGGGTTATTTTAAAATTAAGGATCAAATAAATAATATTACCTTTCTTAATTGTCAAAGACAACCTTTCTTATGGTAAACAAGGATCCATGAGTAACAACTTAAACTTGTAACTTTGCCTCCTCTTCCACTCAGCAGCTGGATTGATATGACCATGAAATATGGCTCCACCCATCCCTCAACCATTATAGTCAGAGCATCTTCGCTGACAGTGTGGAGCTGCACTTAGAGGAAGTTATCAGTGTACAAGAACCATGGTTGCTGCCCATCCCTCAGCCTTTACCATCTTCTGGTTTATGGACCATTTACATAACTTCGACAATAATGAAAAATCCCGTAAGGGGAATATTCATTTATGAGGAGCTTTAGATTTACATATTTACTACATATGTAAAAATGCATATATATATATATTTTTTATGTTATTTTATTTTTAAGATTTTTTTTGTATTTATATTTTGAAACGTTTCCAGTAGTGGAACCTAAAATTAACACTGCATCTATAGGGAATATGGGCAGGTTTTCAATTTTAGTCCAAGAACCAGTACGGTCATAAATTGAAGGTTACTAACAGACTCTCAGTTGGGCTGATATTACAAGCAGGTAACCAATAACATAAAATGATTTCTGGCAGGTCTAGAAGGTTCTTCTCCTCTCTCTTAAATTTCACTCTAGAGGTTTATTTTATTTTTTTTATAGAGGTTTTTTTTTTTTTATTTAAAGCTTTGCCTCTTGACAAAATGACAATCTGAGACTTTATAAGGTGTTTACATTTTAATATAAATGAGTTAACTGGTTCTTTCTTGAAGTTTGGATAAGGCAGAGATGAAAGGTACAGAAAAGTACTGTCACCTAAAAAGACAGCACTACATGGGAGACGTACCATCAAAGGAAAGGCCAGGGTGAAATATCCATGTCATAATCCCAGACTATTTTATCCTAGTAAATATTCAGATATTTTTCCAATACCTTCCTAATTTCAAAATCCATGATTTCAATTAAAGGAACACATTTGTTTCATAAAAATATTTTCCTACAGCTTCATATTATACACTGTCGATAACAATTTACTCAGGCATAAACATAATGCCAGCTTTCCCCCAAGTGACAAAACTATAAAACTTAAGCTATAACATGTAATTATTCTCTTACTTAAAATCTACTTTAGAAATCTTAATCCATATTTTTGATGATGAAATAAAAGAAAGTTAAAACATTTCATGTAAACACCACATCTTCTGTAGTCAATCAATCCATTTTATCTGTCAATGTCCAGGTCCTGGGCAGCAGATTTTGCTGAATGTTGTGGCAACAGAGACTGAAACCTCAGCAAGCAGAACACTAGGGAACCTTGAGCTCTAGAACTTTGAATGGTTTGATATTGTATTAATTTGCATTAAAAGTGAAAGTAGCATTCATGAGAGGTAGCTAAAATGAAAAAATTTCAAGAAAAAATGTTTCTTCAAATTTTCACCTTCTCCTCTCACTGTGTTGGTACAAAGAGTGTTTGAAGAGTTCATGACTATTTTGTAAAAGGTTAAAACAATGTAAAGTAACTCCCAAAATTAGTAAAGTAATTTCCAAGGTTTGATATTATTATAAATTGAAAGACTCCTTTGTAGGCAGAACGAACAAATAAAATAACATATTCTTAGTTTTCCCTTAAAATATTACTTGTTTAAAATTCAAAAGGCATGACAAATTTAGACATTTCTTCCTACCTGAAGATCTGAAGAGACAGAACTGCCTCGATCAGACTCATTTTGCACAACTGGAAGTGAGTATTTCTCTTCATCTGATGACATTCTGCACAAATACTATAAAACAGTAGAAGCTAACTTTAGTTTTTTCCCTTGATATTTAAAATAAAATAAAATGCTTTCTAGATACGCATAAGTGCAACAGTATCCTAACCAACAAATAATCTTCATGTGATACGTTAAAATCACTCATTCAACATATTGAGTACCTACAGGCAAAAATCACTGGGCAAGAAAAAATAGTTAAAGACCCAATCTCAACATTAGTGAGTTTATAAATGTTATTACCTTTCATGAAATGGAGGCTCTTTTCATGAGAAAAGAACGAAAGGCTCTTTAGAAAATTCCCAGTGGGGACTGTTGAGGATAATAGACTGTGAACACTGTTCTTGAGCAATGTGTGACAATCTGGGTGCTGTAAGATAGATACTGAACCAGGACAGAATGAACAATTTGTCCAAATTCCCTTCTTGGGAAACTTACCTTTGGGAATATTATTTTAAGAAAAGTTTAGACAGAAGAACAAATTCAAATATATTCAAATATATTCAAATTCAAATATATGCAGAGAAAACTTGTTGGGAAGTCCTAATCAAAAAAAAAATAGTAATAATAAAAGTACTTTTAATAACGTGTAACCAAATTATTTAAAAAACAGTGACTATTCAAACTATCTACACACAGGTACATGTAAGACATTGATAAAGAATGTAAAATGAAGAAGTCCTTGTTCTCAAGACTTTACAATCTGTAGAGAGGGCCAGACATGTATATGATACAAATGATTGCTTTATGAATAAACTGTTGTTAGATCCTAAAATATCAGAGGTACAAAGTAAGGAGGAGGAGTAGCCACTTTTCATAGGGTGGAATTGCATGGGTGTAAAGAAGTGGGAAAGGAGGCATAGAAAGTTTTTATGGCGATGACCCAAGTGTTGAGAAGTGAAAGATGGATAAAAGGTATGAGAATATTCTAGGCAGTAAAGCAGCATAAGCAAAGACACAGAGGCATGGACTTACATGCCAGGAACAGCAAGTAGTTTGGTAAGGCTGAAGCAAAGGGTGCAAAGCAAGGCTTGGCTAAGGATGAAATGAAAAGGTAAGGAGCAGCCAGATCATGGAATATAATAATTTGTCATGTTAAAAAGCTGGGTCTCTATTCTGGAGAAGTCATTAAATTGTTTTTAAAAGGTAGTTACATGATTAGGCTTGTTTTTTAGAACTATCACTCCGGCAGATTTGAGGATGGACTGGGATATTGATGAGAGATCCACTGAGAGCCAACTACAGTACTCCAAGAGAGAAATGTTCCCTCAGGTAGTAATCAAAGAGATAAATGAGGACCTGAATCTAGGAGGCAGCAATGGGAAGGGTATGGAGGTTATGACTATAAGACAGTTGTGTTATGGCAGTGGAAATGAGAGATAATGATCAATAATTGGTTAAGGGGTTAAAAGGAAGAACAGTTGATGGCTTCCAGATTTCTGGCTTGGGTAACTAGATGGTGCCACTCACCAAGGCAAGGAATGTAGGAAGATGAGCAGGTTGGGAGGAAGGACAATGAGTTTGATATCAGATGTTTTGGGTATTAGGTTGCCTGTAAGGCATTGATGTAAAGCTGCAGATATGCAGTCGGTGGACACACTTGGCTGTGTGGTACACCACTTCAAGGTCTGACATTCTCAATGGCTATACCGTGAACAGTGCTTTCTGTTCACAGTGTTAAGCAGTGTGGGAGCCCTGCATTGGAGATATAGGTTGGAGATGCAGTTTGAGGAATCACTAGCATAATGAGAACTGCTGAAAAAAGGGAATAGATGAGATCACCTACAAAAAGTTATGTGAGGAAGACTCAGAAGATTGAAAAGGAAGTAGAATTATGGGAGCAGCATCACAACAGTTTTGAGAAGGGAGTAGTCAGAGTTAGATGCCAAAGAAAGATGAGGATTGGATAGAATCCCCTGAATTTGGCAATCAGGAAATTTCTGTGACATTTGCTTGAACAATTTTAGCAGAAAGTGGGACAAGTCTCAATAACAGTGGGCTGAAAAATAAATGAGGGATGAAAAATTGCAGTAGAAAAGATACACAGAAAAGTGCAATATTAGAATGGAAATATAGGTTGGAGCTAGATTGTAGAAAGGAAATTTCAGCTTTCTTCAGTGAGTATCACTGTGTATACACATCCCAAGTAAACTAAATCTCAGCATGACTGTCTTTAGTTAAGCCAATTAGGGAGGATAAAATAAGCACATATATCTGCAGCCAAGAATGGCTGCTTCTCTGACTACAAATCCACCACTGTGGTAACTTGGTCCATTTACATTTTCATTCACTTCGTTCTTTAGGATTTGTTTGCAGACCCATTAGGTAACAGCAGTGGGGAGTAGGGTGGTGCTGATTATTTATTAATATAAAATAAATGAGCTGATAAGTCTGGTCAGACCACAAAAATTGTTTCTTAATATAGACACTGCAGACACAAAACAATGATTGCACTTTTGGAAAATATGCTATTTTCCATCTGGCCTGTTTTACGCCAACAAAGTATGACAATTTGAAACCCTACAATAGTAGAAATTTCCTTACTCTTTGTAGGTTCAGAAACAAAGGAGAAAGGTGAAGCTTGTTTTAATGGGTGGCAGATGAGTCCACTACATTTTCAATATTCTCTAACCCAAGTTACAGAAACCACAAGATCAAAACTTTTATTGCGCTTCTCTGTTGCCAGAGATATAAAATTACGTCTTAGTAATTACCTGGCTGATAAGGAAAGAGGGTTCTGGGATTTTAAATGTAACTCTCAAGAGTCAGAGGAAGGGTAAGTTAAGGTGTAAATTGGCAGCAGGGTGATGATGTCCCCTCACTCTTCACCAGTCCTAGCTGCATGCAAGGAGAGGGGGCGCGCCAGCCCCTCCTCAAAGCATGAACTAGATGCAGAGGGAGAAGGCAGTTGCCAGTAAGCAAACGCCTAGAAATTTTCTTCCATCACCTTCCTACCCAGCCCCGTGTTAATCAAAATCTTACTTAAAAGCAATAAAGCTTGATACATGGTTATTTTTTCCCTGTGTTTTAAATGACTAGAACCCATGGGGACAGTTACCGCTCAGCGCCGGTCACTCCTGCCCTCCGTTCCCAGATGCCTCTGAGGGGAAAGTCTCCACCTTCCCCCACAACAGCTGAAGCGCCCGCGTCGGGGCAAGAGGAGCGCCGGGAGCGGAAACCGGGCCGAAGGACTTTAAATCCCACTCCACCACTTCAGCCAGGGACGCAGGGCCCACCCGGAGCGTCGCTACCCACCGTCCTGATCTCGACCAAATCCCGACTCCTCACTCGCGTCTTCTCGCCGCGTCGCTGCTGAAACCACAGCAAGCACAGCCGCTACCTCAGCAGCAACCTGACAGTTTCAAACTGCAGCGAGCAATTAAGGACGGCCCTGTACATTGGCCCCCAGCTTCAGCAATCTGCCTTTTGATTGGTCTGAGAGCCAGGGGCGGGGCTTTGGGCCGCCGCGGGGAGGAGCCGGAATTAGGGTTCTTAGGAGAGTCCTGGCCCCTGATTCGGGGGTTTCCGAGGGGGCGGGCTCTCGGAGAGCCCCGCCCAGCGCTGGGGACTGAGTACGGCGCATGCTCAGCTCTGCTCTGCGGCTGCGGACTGAGGAGGCGCTGCGCGCGCGTTTGATTTGAGGTTGCTGAGGCGGACTGAAGTAGGCCGAGGCCGCGTGCTTTTGGCTCTCAACAAGGCCGGTAGGCTAGGCGTGAGTCCTCCTGTTATAGTCTGCACTAGAATTATCTGCATCCACAGATCCCCTGCAACAGAATCACTTGGAGGTGCTTTTTAAAACCACAGATTCCTGACCCGTTTTTGTCGATTCCGTCGGCCTTGAGTACCGCCAGGAAATCTGAATTTTTAATAAACACTGCCAGTGATTCTCGTGCGGGGGTCTGTAGACCACACTCTAAGAAGTTGCTGGTCTAGTCTTAACTAATTATGTCAAACGTGTCAGACTTCAAAGCAGGCTCTTCCGGTGAAATATCGACCTTAGAATCTAATCATAATTATAATATGGCTCTACCACCTACTCACTGTCACCTTAGATAATACTACCTACACACCAGGTGGTAGGGAGATTAAATGAGTTAATTTATCTAAAACACTTCACATAAGCATATGAAAAATATTAGTCTTTCAAATTGCATTGGCAACAGATATGGCTAGAGGTGCATAAGGATGCAGGTGGCAAAGTGTCTAGCCCTGGGATACTCCAGTCTCAGGGACAGATAATGAGATTTGGGCTAGTTTTCATGCTCCCTTCTGTTGTCTGGAGGATGAGAATTCTTTTTCTGTAGATAGAAATGGCATAACCTGGGTCTCACCTGTGTAACTGTTGGTGGAGCCAGACTTATACAAACAATAAAGTGAGAGCACAAGAAGTTTCTGGCATAAGCTGTTTGCTCCCCCTTTTTTCCATGTTTATTATAAAGGGAAAATTCCTATTAATATATACAAATTCATACGTGGTTCTAGTATCTTTTTTAATTGAATTGCCACATGGCAACCCCATACACTGTAATTGTTACTGATTCACTGTGTCTGTACCCTTTTGCCACTAGGCTCTAACTTTCTCTTTTCTGTCTTCTTTTTGTGGGGAGAGATTTTCATAGAAAATCATTGATTAAACTATACCCAGTCTTCTGTGAAACTACAGAGAGAAAATGACCAAACCTGTTTTGAGTGTTATGAATTTAGAATTGATTTTTTTTTTTTCCTAAGAGAATCTCCCTCTCTCACCAGGCTAGATATCACAATCATAGCTCACTGTAACCTTGAAATCCTGGGCTCAAGTGATCCTCCTGTCTCTGTAGTGGGGACAATAGGCACTCACTACCACTCCTAGCTAATATATTTTATTTTTTGTAGAAATGGGGGTCTCACTATGTTGCCCAGGTTGGTCTCAAACTCCTGGCCTCAAGCATCCTCCTGCCTTGGCCTCCCAAAGTGCTGGGATTACAGGCTTGAGCCACCGTGCCCAGCCTGGAACCAATGAAAGAGAGAATTTAAAGCACCCACAAACCCATAATAATTAGATTGCCAGCTTGAACCCTTCATAATTATTTATTCATTCAACAAAATATTTAGCATCCATGGTATGCAAAGCATTTTATTGGTGCTAGGGATAGAGTGGTGAACAAAACAGATACACTGCCCTCATGGAACTAAGAGTCTAGTGGGAAAAACAGACATCAAACTAGAACATAACCCCTACACAAATGAATAAATGATTAAAAATTGTGTTTAAAGTGAGGAGAAATCAGGAAATGCCTGTCTGAGTAGAAGTCAGACAGTGAAAAGCTTATTTAACTTAATAAACACACATAGTGCTTCCTGTGTTCTAGGAACTGTACAATAGCACTCATTAGTTCATTTAGTTTTCAGAATATCTCTGTGATGCAGGTGCTATTTCTGTTCTCATTTTACAGTTGCAGAAACTAAAGCACAGAGAGGTTATGAAGTTTGCCCAGGATCACACAGTTATTAAGAGCAGCCCCCAGAATCCATGTTCTTATCACTGAGTATGTACTGTTGGGAACAGCATGGCCAAGGTCTTGAGGTAAGAAAGGGCTTGTATCTGGATAAGAACAAAAGCTAGTAAGATTGGAACTTAGTGGGTGAGGCAAAAGTGGCATGGGGTGAGGCTGCAGATGGAGGTGGGGACCCAACTGTGCCAGACTTTTTAAGGGTTTGAGATTTTATCTGAACGTCAATGGGATGTTTTTAGATGTTCAGTAGAGAAATGAAAACAACTTGGACTACAGGAGTGGCAAGGGAGATAGAGAGAAGATGGAAATGAGAGACAGTCTTCTCTCAGAATCCGTGGGGGGTTGGTTCCAAGACCCCTGTGGATATGAAAATCTACAGATGTTCAAGTCCCTTATATGAAATGGCATAGTATTTGCATATAACCTATGCACATCCTCCTATATACTTTAAATCATCTCTAGATTACTTATAATACCTAATACAATGTAAATGCTATGAAGATTTTGTTATACTGTTGTGTGGTTTTTTATTTGTATTATTTTTTTATTGTTATATATATTTTTGTGTGTGTGGTCTTTTCTCTGAATACTTTTGATCCAAGCTTGGTTAAATCAGGCAAAGAAAAAAAACATGTACCAAGGAAGTGTATGAAATAGATGTGGAAATGAAAGTAGTTAGGTGTTCAAGAAGAGCAAAAGCTAATCATGATTTCCAAGTATTATTAGAATAAAATTATTGATGTATCAAAAAAATACGCTGAAGTGGAACTCAAAGATATGGACAGCCAACTGTAGATTTTGGAGGTATAATTGATGAGACTTAATGGGTTGTATCTGAGATGAAGGAGAGAAAAGTGTCAAGAAGGATTCCTGGCTTCAGGTTTCTGGCTTGAGCAACTGGGTGGATAGCAGCATCACATAGTAAGAAGAACACTAGAAGAGGAGCAGGTTTTAAATGGCAAAGATCAAAATTCAGTTTTAAATATGCTTTAAATATGAAATGCCTGGAGATATCCAAGTAGACTGTCCATTAGACCATTGGACATACATTCTAAAATTCAGAAAAGAGGTCAGGGCCTCAATATATAAATCAGAGAACTTTTGCATGTAGATATTGTGGAGGATTAAAAAAAATGGCTCCAATTCTGTTTCTCTCCCTGTATCTATGTCCTGTACCTTGTAACTTTGCAGTGGTTTCCCACTAATGACCAATAGGATATTAACGAACATGATTCAAGCAGAAGCTTTTAAAATGTTTATGTGATTGGCTTGGCTTGCTCTTGCCCTCTGTTATAACGATGAAAACATGCGTGAACTAGCCTGCTGGAAGATGAAAGACACATATAGTAGAGCCAAGTTGCCCCAGTCATTCTAGCCCAGGCCGTCTTAGATCAGCCTGTAGCCATTGGACACCCAGAGAGATGTGTGCATACAGTTGAGAACAGCAGGACCACCCAGCCAACCTGCGGAATCATGAACTACAGGATAGGGAACCTGCGGCTTTAAGGCCACATGTGTTCTTCTAGGTCCTTAAGTGCAGCCTTTTGACTGAATCCAAATTTTACAGAACAAAAGGCCACACTTAAGGATTTAGAAGGCCACATGTGGCCTTAAGGCTGCAGGTTCCCCACCCCAATGTTGACTGTTTAAAGGTACTGTGTTTAGGGTGGTTTGTTGTATAAACTTATTCTGACAATAGATGACAGATAGAGATGCAATTTAAAGCTTAAGAACTAGATGAGAACCTGGGGTAGAGAGTAAAGTGAGTAGAGAAGATTCAGAGCTGAGCCCTGACAGTCCTCTGTTTAGAGGCTGGGGGAGGAGCTAGCAAAGGAGACTGAGGAGGAGGTGCTGGAGAAGTGGGAGGAAAAGCAGGGGAGGTTTGAGTAAAATGCTGGTAAAATGACTATTGTATTTGGCAATGTGGAGGTCATTCGTGCCTTAGCCCTTTCGTGGACCCCAAGTTCTGAACCTGCTCTAGTATTACCTGTCTTCTTTTCATCCACACTGGCTTTGGTTGAATTTGGCTCAGACTGTTTCTTGATTGCATGTCTTCATTTCTTTTTTCTACAATTCACTCTTCACATTGCTGATAAATTATCTTTTAAAAATATCATTGGATTGTATCACTTCTTCTTCAAAAGCCTTGCATACTGTTGTATGGCATTCAAAGCTCTCCTAAACATAGCCCCACCAAACACCAAAAGGTCTATGCTAGAGTCCCCAGATTTACCACTTCCCAGATAGAAAACTTTGGGGAAGCTGTATATTCTTTATATGCTTAATCCCCATCTCTTTAAAATTGAGAAATATAATAATAGAACATATCAAATCTAAATATAAATCTAAACCTGAACCCAAATCTATCATTTATCTGTCATCTCTATCTATCCCTATCAATATCTATTCCCTCCTTCTCTAGTAAAATATTTGAAGTGGAGCATATGGCTGCCTAGCTAGACTATATTTCCCACCTACTGATCAGTTAAGTGAGGCCATGGAATGTGAGTGGAAATGACATGTACCACTTCCTGAACTGGGTTTTAAGACATTAGGTATGCTTTCTCCAAGTCGTCTTCTCCTTTCCCAGTGTTGGACTGAATGACCATATGAAATAGAACTTCCCTGAAAGTTCTGTAATATGAGAAAACAATTTTTTTACATTATTGTATTTTGGGGTCAATTTGTTATGGTTTTTAGTTAACATCACATCTACATCTATATAGATGAGTAGAGAAAGTTGTTGGGAAGTAACGTGTGAAAGCACTTTGTAATTTTTTTAAGTGAGGCAGCCAAGTGAGAT